GACTTGATAACCATGTTGTTAACTTTGTACGAAAATCGATAGAATTCTTTGTCGGTTTAAAAAATGCGCCTGTTGTTACCTTTCAAGCTTCGAGTTACAAATTGCAGAAATGCGCGTTTTTTGAAATTTCATCCGCCTGCAACCCAGGCGCATCATCCATAATAAGATAGCCTTCTCGATTTCATAGCGCTGGCACTTCGTCTTCTTTTTGTCATGATAGACACGTATCGATTAAAACTAAAATTTGTTGAGGAATCGAGTTTGTTACCTTCAACCCTTTCAATTTCAACTAATTCCTTTGGAGAAAATGGATCAAATTCACCGTTTAAAATTACAGAAACGACATAAAATTATTTGTAAATTTTGAATGCTTTTTACAGGAACCTGGAGCATATGAATGGAAAGTGGGATTTTTTTTCAGAGAGAACAAAAGAAAAACGGGGAATACATATGTGGTCATTTAGGCTTCAAATTGTGCATTAGTTTTTACAATACTGAGGATTGAGAAAGGAAAACGGCTCGGCTGTAATTATTTATTTCACACTTAGGAGACAAACATTACTTTTAAGCTAAAGCTCATCTGGAAACCCGCATACTTTATTTTTTTGTGTAATACGACAAATTTTTAAATTTTCTTTTTGGTGTAACACCATTTCCTTGTTTACTTCCTATGGATATATCATTTTCATAAAACCTTATTAAAACTTATTATTCGTGGATAATTAAAGCATAATTAGATTTAATAATTATAATTATAAGGCTTTTTTTATAAACCATTAGGATCTACTGTAAATATTCTTCTGTTTTGTTTAAAATCTGAATGTTTTTTATAACTTAATATCAGATAAAAAAATACGATTGTTTCGATCATATTCACTTTGATATTTCAATTATTTATAGTTTTATCCCGAGTTTCAGGTTCATGCAATTGTATATAAATTAAAACATTCCTGATTTTCGATTATAGTTTCACCTCAATAAAAACGTACAGCGAATCTTTAAAATACGGATGTATTATTTACGTATGTACTTGTATTTTAATTGGGTGGTGTTATAAAAATAAAAAAGTTTATCATACTGTTTATCTAAAAATTGTCATTTATGCAACTTGTGTTTTATTTTTTTATATGTATCTACCTACATAATCTTCACTGTTCCTGAAATAGGAACACATTGTTGATGTATTCTAGCAAAAATTTCAGTGACTGATACCACGATCTTTTATGTTGTACACGCTTGTCCAATATAAATGTTTATACCTATTTTCACCTTATATGTACTATAATAGCATACCTAGTCTATTTTTTTAAGAAAGAAGTAGGTGACAACAGCATCGGACAGTCAATTTTACAATAGCAAATTTTATTTAAATTACAAGGTACATGTTTAATATCTCTTTGTAACATCTAAAAAAACTACAGTGCAATCAAAAAGTTTATCTATCAAGCACGCCTAGAAATTTTAAACGTGTCTGCGGAAGATAAAATGTCACAATGGTAAATAAGAAATGTCAAAATATTTTTTTTGTAAACTGTAACAACAAATCGTGGTGAACGATTTGTATGAATAAACTCCAACTACATCTCATTTTAGGGTGTTTTAAGACGTTTCATACAGTAATTCAATTTGTTTAGATCAATATTTTAATTTTTATAAAATAATTTTTTGACATCTAGCTGACATACAAACTTCCAAGCGAGATACGTCCTCAACTAGTACGCCTACTTAATAGAAAGACTTTTTGATCGCACTGTAGTTGCTTATGCTTTTGGAAATTTAATTTTTTTTATAATTATTATGATTATTATAACTAATATGTGATCGCTATTACATCGTCAAACAAAAAGGACACATTTTTTTTCTTTAATAAGTACATATAACACAAAGAGGAAAGAAAAGATTTAAAACTCTCGTTAAAAGATACAAGTCAAAAAATTCATCAACTTTCAAAATTATTTCAATCGTTTGAATTAGGCTGATTACGCGTCCAATCCAATTTTAGCATATTAATAATTATCTCCGTAAACACTTACTTCTTAAAAAAATGGAATATATGGTTAAGTATATCTGAGGGTTAAAAAAACATAGTTTAAAGTATCGTGTGCCTAAATAAAGTTTGAGTGACCTTCTATTGGCGACAGTGAATATTGGCATAGAAGATATGAAATTTCAGAATCATAAGCCACTTTCATTACAAATTTCATTGAAGACATAGTAATATTTTGTTCTAAGTAGTAAAAAAATTCGAGTGGAAAATGATTATACTTAACTTCCTTGTTTGTTATTCGGCAAAATACTTTATCAAAGCCTGCATTATTATATGTTCAAGAAACAAGACACAGACATTTTAGTAACAATATGCGTCGTATGAGGTATTTATGAAAAAATATATACTTAATAGAATTGTAAATTCAAATAAAAATTCCTGCTTCATAGTAATTTTGTAGTATGAAAATAAATTACGATTTAATTAAAACACAAGGTTTTGTTTTCACCCTTTGCTGAATGAAAATATAAAAGGTTAAAAAAATCTGCCCATTTTATAAGAAAAACTGAACTACACTACAAGCAGAATGATGTTAATAGTTATTATTATTATTATTTACGGAGAGAAATAATGTAATATTTTGTAACTAATTTAAATCACAGTCCTTGTGTCTTTGTTTTATCGAAACATGTCATAGCCAATTCTATAAGACTTGAGTATTTGCAAGAGGTATTGTTATTGCCTAAGCTGTCAGCAAATGTAATTTAAATAGAGCGCCTTGAAGGTTAAAACTCGTACTCGAATAAATTTTAACAAATGAAATTTTCGTTTCAACATTATGCCGTTTCTTGTGAATACCTTTTTAGCCGGCACAGTCCTCCATCACGTATTTTCTTCCGATCTTGTCCATTGTTAGCTCGGAACAGTCGTAGCAAAATAAATTTAGCGATTTCCAAGCTGTAAGTAGAACAAGATGTCGAGCAAGTTCGATATGCAACAGGTGTTGTTTTATGTTTATGTTCACCGGCACCGTTTCCACCATCCTCGCGTAACAGGAAATAACTAACCTGCAATTTTCTATTGGGCTTGGGTGTGGTCGTCTTGCTGGCATTTTGGAAAAATCGCGACGGCACCGGACAAAACCACTTCCTTTCCCGTTTCGTTCATTCTACACGCACAGGGAGATGAGGAAGTGCAGACATTTCTTTGCGCGTCCATTGACTCCTCAGGATTTGCAACGGAGGCCGCTGTTATTACTTAATAATTAAGTTAATAACTCGTTAGAAGCGACCTATTATGCAAAGCATGGCAGTGAGGTCGTGTAAATAGCATTGTTTGCTTTTTAATTGCGTTTCGATGTTTCGGGCGACATTGAACATGGCTTTTAAAAGCCTATCGACGACGCAGAAAGGGCTGGTGCCAACATCACATCAATTGATATCAAAAATCTGTTAGCACAGAATTTAAACTTTTTTTTAACCTTTTTGCACTCTTAGGGCTCATAATGAGCTTAACTCAGAATTTGGCGCGTTGGAGTAAAAAACTCTGTCCGCCTCCCATCCGCCTCGGCTTGGATTTATCAAAGCATCTGCATCCCACCCACTTCTTTCTTATAGCTTTTTCCAACACGTCGATTTTTACGGCCGCTAAACGACCCAAATTAAAGTCCAGCTTCGTCTTTAATTACCGCAGGCAGCTCGTTATCCTTCATAGACCGATATAATATTGCACCTTGCTTAGCGTCATTACTCCTAACATAGTAGCACAAATTTGTTGGCGTTAAAATACAATTTTCGTCTTTTCACCTCCAAGAAAGAGCGCCGCTTCTGGCGCAACCATTTCGTAAAAAGTCTGCGGTAGTAAAAGGCAGCGCAGTTTTATTGCCGAGGCCGAGTTATGTGTCTTCTGTCTGGACGTTCCCAAGCGCATACACAACGCATGCACGTCCCTTCGAATTAGCAATGCATGTAATGAAAGTGTCTACGGTTTTTATTGTTCTCGACACACCGCAACGTGTTTTAGTGCCCTGTGTGAGGTTTCGGCTCGGAAAGGCTTTATGAGCTTGCGAGGGCCGAGCCGCCTCCGCCGACACACTCCCATATAATCAGACGGCTCGGGGGCCAACAACAGATTTGTCCTCGGAAACTAACAGAGTTTCAAACTATATTATTGCCACACGAGTAGCTAAATCCACTCCTATCTCTTCAAGGACCAAAAGTGACTAGATTCCTGCAGAACTAAGCAAAGTGAAACTTCAAATTGATTTTTGCAGAAAATACGAATGTAACTGCGGTAGAAGTTTTTCGTTTTGACGCTATTACTCTTTAAAAAGCAACACTTTACATTATTTTTTTCTTTTATGAATTCTATGAATTCAGTTTTGACTGTAGGTAAACTATCAAAGTATTGTTAAAGATGTCTCTTTTTTTCTTGAGAATGTTTAAAATGTTGCCAGAAGAAAAATCCACCTACAGTTTGCTGTATCTAAATTCAGATTTAGTTGCAAAATTTTAAAATGTATTGTCACTTTATTTTGTGTCCTAATAAAAAGTTTACTCGTAATGTTGGAACCCATAAGATAACTAATGAAGAAGTATATCAAAAAAATTATTTATCGAGGTGGAAGTGGATTGCTATCGAAATTAAGCTCTGTTTTCGTCTCGACGGTGCGTATAATGAGTTGAAGTTGGTTCTAGTTGAAGAGTTGTAAATCACGTCAACAAAAGCTCGGTCGAGATGGAAAGTAAAGTTCTGTGGAATTAGGTCATCGTGGAAGATTCGATTATCGAGTGCATGCTGCTAAGTTGGTTAATTAAAAAAGTATCCTTTTCTCGTTTCACAAGCACGCTAATAAAGTGTAATGCCTCGATATTTATTCGCGCAATTTAAAATTATAATTGCAGAGTCCGAACTAGTGCTTATAACAATTACGTGTGCTTTTTTCTTCCTCTGCGTGTTCTGCCAAGCATAGTACGGTCGATGGCAAGGTTTCAGACGAATTCTTTGATTTCAGGAGAGTCTGTCCACGCCAGAGTCGACGGAAGCAAACGAGGAGGATCACTTTTCGGGTGAGTTTTAAGCCAGTCACCCACTCATTGGCTTTAACCATCATTTTTGTTTGAAGTGTAGACCTAACACTCATACAAAATCGACATGCCTACCTTGTGTCTCTAGGGCAAAATTCCCGCTTTTACTATTGAGTAGCAGGGTTGGTACTACATCTGGAACTTGGCCCAGTTTCACCCAATTGGGCCAAGTTCGTGCTAGAGTAGTCGTAGCTTTAGTTAAGCTAGTTTAAGTGTAAGCCAACCCTGCTAACCGTGATTTGATTGGCTGTGCAGGAACCGGGGCTATGAAAGACAGCGACAAGCTCAAGCTGATGCTCTTGGCGTGGAACTACCACAATCAGGCCCAAGGTAACACGACAAACACAACACACCAACATTTTTTTCTTTACTTATTCAATCATCAGTCATTACATTTCGCCCCACACTCGATTTTAGCAGTACTTATAATACTCCTTACAGGAAACAGAAATGGGGACATTCCAGACCTGTCTTCTGTTCCGGGAGGCGAGGAAATGGCCGGTTTGTGGGCCCAGTACCACTCGGCTCTGGGGCTAGCGAAAGGCAAGGCCACGCCGCCCACAACGCGAGATCAATCTGTAAGTACCAGAGAAGCCTCTCGTTATTTCCCTTATTGATCGGCATGTCCTCGAAAAAGACATTTACATTGCAACAAGCCTCTAGTTGCACTTTGTTATGGTCTCCAATGCTGGAATTTAGATTACTTCCTCATATGCAGCTGTTTGCATTGAATGATAAACTTCGTGTCAAGTTCAGTCCGGTGTCTTTGCCATAAAATTCCTCAACGGATAATTAACTGTTGCTGCTTTTGGTTTGTGATAATGTAATGGTTGACCATTTCAGAGTCCAGTCAATGCTGATGCGGGGTCAGCACATGACGAAACCAGCTCCAGCGGTAACAAAGAAGACGAAGACGATGACGATGATGAAAGCGATGACAAGATCGACACACAAACGCACGACCCTGAACGACTCAAAGCCTTCAATGTAAGTGCAATTAAAAAATAATCGCGGACTAATGAATCGAACCACAAAAAATCCAACGAAGAGACCTCAACACAATTTTGACATCGGTACCTACATAATTATCTCTGGAATTGCTTTTTTTCGTAACAGGAAAATTAAATAAAGAAAAAATTAGGTTTTTTTAAATAAAAGTTTGAGGTTTTTCTAAATCGTACCTATTAGTTAATCTGAGAATAGTCCAAAAAATTACATGATTTTAATTTAGTTATTTGATTTGCTTATAAATAAAAACTAAATGTGATTTTAAAACCCAATAACAATATGAAAAGTGTCAACAGAGAGATAGTTGAAGCTTATTGCTTTATGTCTATAATGATTATTTTGAAAAGTTCCTGCCTCCTTATCATTCAGTTCCGTGTTTTTTTTTTTATTAATGTACGTTGGTTTTTGATTCTACTGGCATTAAATTACAGGAAAAATATAAACTTCACTACCGCCTATAGGTTTCCCAAAAGAAATAAAAAAATTATTGTTCATAAGCCAATACTTATGTTGAAGAATTATTAATGAATACGTACTTTTTAACCATTCAATATTTCAGTTAGCGTTCTTCTGCCTTTATTTTAAAAGCAAGGAAACATTATTTGTGTGTAATTGAGTGTTTTGTGTTTTGTTTATTTAGAATTAGAAAATCGCTGACAAAATTATAAGTGATTGTGTTCGCATTCGTAAACAAATGATCAAAGAAGTCTACTTCTCACTACATTTCTCGATACATTTCAATGAAAAGAATCATTCAAGACAGAATATTTAGCAGTTTCAGTAGCTGTTGCCACTGCAACTTCGTTGCAAAATGGTCAATTTTAACAGATTATTATGATAAATGAAAAGCTATCAGAAACATGTAACTAGCAGCCACTATTTGAACCTTTAATAAAATATTATACCCTTTGATCAAAAAAATTATGTGTTGAAATTGAATTGAAAAATTGAATTATGTAATTTCACATAGTGTCTTATTTGATAATGAAATAAAAATAAAACCGTAATTTTTACATTTTGCTATTGAAATATTTTTGCCGTTTTTTTAATTTGTTTTCTCTAAACCCTCTTGGTTTTAAAGATGTTTGTCCGTCTCTTCGTCGACGAAAACTTAGACCGCATGGTGCCGATTAGCAAACAACCGAAAGAAAAGATCCAAGCAATAATCGATTCGTGCACGAGGCAGTTTCCGGAGTTTGCGGAACGAGCCCGAAAACGAATCCGTACTTACCTCAAGTCTTGTAGAAGAAACAAACGTGCCAGAGACCCGAATTCGCCATGGGACGCGGTTTGTTTTTTCACTTATTTGAAAAAACTTCCCACAATTTGAATGATTACAGACACGACCGACCCCAGCTCACTTGACATCAGTACAAGCAGAACAAATTTTAGCAACGGCCTGCGAGAATGAAAGCCACAACGCGAAAAGAATGCGATTAGGGCTGGAACCGGTCAGTCAGCCTATGCCAATATTACCGGGAGGCCAACCTACGGATACCACAGCCCCGATCAACAGAGGAATAGACTTTTCTAATAACACTCCGGTAAAAATTGAGGTGGACTCGGTGTCGACGGCGTTCCCGTCGTCGACGACGCCTTCCTCCACGCCTAATTCGGTCAGCAAGCTGTCTTTAACGCCCGATTTGAAAACGTCAGCCATGAGGTACGTCTTTGAAGCAATATTTTTAATGTTTGTAGCGACCATTTGGGTGTTTCAGCGTTTCGAATGCGGCGGCTCTGGGCGCGACGGCCATGAACGGGATTGGAATCTCAAGTACGGCGGGTTCAGCTCCGACGGCGATGTACAGGCCGAACTTCTCACAAGCGTTTCAAAGGGCTGGTCCTTATCCTCTGTTTCCAGGGGCCAACCCTTTCGGGACAGGGACGGGTTTGCTGACAAATGGTTAATATAATTCAGCGTCTCGAGCGCATTTGTCGTAAAAGGACGTGACTGATGGTTTTGTAGGTCCAGCAGACTTGAGTATGAAGCAGAAGCCGCTTTTGAACCATAAGCTGAGCACCGGCGAGATGGCGGCGGTGAGGCAGCTCATCACGGGATACCGCGAGTCGGCCGCGTTTTTGCTGAGGTCAGCTGACGAGTTGGAGCAGCTCCTGATTCAGCAGCAGTAGACTCTTAGTCAAATGCCATATTTGTGTACATTGCAAAGATGATAGAGTATTTTATCCACTAGGCACGAGTGATTTTAGCACTAGTACTATGATACTGTTGATTCACTATGCATTCATTAACTTGGACTGTTGTAAACTTTGTAAATATGATTTTTACTTATGGATTTTTGCTACTTACGAAAAGGAGGGAAGATGCTGAATTTATGTACAAACGAGTTTCCTAAATAAGTGAAAAAAATATTTATTTATTAGAAGTTAGAAGAACTATTCTATTACTACAGGGGAAATTTTATTATATTTGATATAAATGTTGAGAATTTATTGTATGAATTGACTGTACCAAAGACAATTGTATATAATCTTTAAAAAGTCGCCGATGTTTTTGTAATTATTAAAGATAAAATTCATTTATGAACGTATTGTCTTTCGAGTGATGATTCCAAATTACGGGGTTCCCTACACATAACCCCTGACGGACTTTTAGTACATTTTTAAGGGGTCCTCTGCAAATTTTTATAATAGCGATATTTTCTATTATTTGACAATTGACATAGAATTTTAAAGAAGTATTTCTGTGATTGTTAGTAAGTGTGTAGATATACTGAAAAATCAGGAAACATCTTACAAAAATTTTTGTAATCTATGTATCTGTTCATGTATATTTCAGACATTCCAATGTATTTCTGAATGTATATAATTAAATTGTATTTTGATCTGAAATCACTGCCAGATTTTGTGTATCAATAAATAATGTCCGTATTATTTTATTTTTACCTTCTTTTCGTTTCTTTCGTTACGTTTTATACACAAAAATAAGTTCACGCAGCACGTTCTTATTTGTTTGTTATTGGGCTATACTGTTGCAAGTAAGTATAAATCCACATGTAAAATAGATCAAATATAAAAAAAATAATATCAGAGTATACTACCTTACAATACTATAAACTGTGATTATTAATTAGACAATAATAATTACTTTAACCATTCGCGTTGCAATAGGAGATAATAAAATTTCGTATCATATAAAACTTCATTTAATCGTCACATTAATTATCAAACCTCGTAACTTCACTTTTGGTCAAATGAAATTTTGATGTAAACTGTTAAAAAAAATATTGTACACGATGATAAAAACTAGGTAATTCCATATAATGTTACTTTAATAATATTACCAAAATAAAAAAACACTTAGCTCTATGCTCCATGGTGGAGCTCGAACAACGAACATCCCTGTATAACGCATTTTGTTTTTTGTATTTTTGTAAAGTTTGTGATTTTGTAGTTACAAGGTTTGATAATTAAGGTGTTACAGAATCCTTAACCTAAATATACATAAAATGGTATAAGATCATAAATGTTTAAAATTTGCATTGAAATACTAGTTCTGGATCAAATATATTTATATATAGATTTATATACATTTAGATTTTTTTTAATCACATTTTCGTATATTTTTTGCAGTCTTTTTGTTGAAAACAATAATCAAAACATTAATTTTTGCTTCGCTTAAGTGAAAGCGAATTAAAACTTTAATTAAAAAATAATTTAGTCATTTCTTTTGTATTACAATCGTCAAGTCAACGGTAAGTTTAAATTTGATTGTAACTGAAGACTGTATAAACGGTTTTTCGGAAAAAGTAACTTATTGTAAGGCCACTGGAAAATGTTGAAGTTCCCGCTTATTGAACAGTATGTGAACTACTGCGCAATGCGCCAACTTCTACTCGTCTACATTCCTAACCTCTTCGAATTGATAAACATAATAATAATATATATACAATTAAAACAATTTACTGTGTATGACCCGTTAAAATTCACCTTATAACATAACAGTAACCGTAAGATCAACATGGGTAAATTTTCAAGAGACAGACGTGATATTTATTACCGAAAGGCTAAAGAGCAGGGCTGGCGGGCCCGAAGTGCGTTCAAACTTCTACAAATTGATGAGAAATTCAACATTTTAGAGGGTGAAGTTGAGTTCCATAACAAAAATCTAAACCTAACCGAAATTCTTGTTTAGGTGTAACAAAGGCCGTGGATTTATGTGCAGCGCCGGGAAGCTGGAGTCAGGTTCTGTCCCGCCGTTTATATCTTGGTGAAGCTATTGATATTAAGCCAAAATGTAAGCTTTTTTATACCGAGAATGATGACTACATGAGTGAGGATACAGAAGAATGCAAAACAGAGAAAATTGGTGAGGCAAAAAATGAGGAAGCTACAGAACCACCCCAGAAGAACAAAGACGTTAAGATTGTCGCTGTTGATTTGCAACCAATGTCACCTCTACCTGGAGTTATACAACTACAGGGGGATATAACAAAATACAAAACTGCGGAAGCGATTATTAGCCATTTTGAGGGAGATCATGCAGATTTAGTTGTTTGTGATGGGGCCCCAGATGGTACTTCGCAATTAATATAAAGTAATGAACTATAGCCAGATAATTTTAGTCACTGGACTCCATGATATTGATATTTACATTCAAGCCCAACTTTTGTTAGGAGCGTTACACATCACTTGTAACGTTCTTAAACCTGGGGGTACTTTTGTTGCTAAAATATTTCGTGCTAAGGACTGTGATTTGCTGACCCAGCAGCTGCTCATGCTGTTTGAAGATGTGATTACTGTCAAACCAACTAGTTCGCGCAATTCTAGTATTGGTATAACACAAATTGGTTGTTGTTTACCAAATACTGGTCTATATTTTAATTTTAGAAGCATTTGTTGTTTGCCGTAAATACAAACCGCCTGAAAATTTTGATCCTATGTTAATAACACCGTTTCTTGATGTTTCAAACAGAGATTTTTCTTCTCTCTCTGGAATAAATAGAGTAATAATACCATTTTTAGTTTGTGGAGATATTAGCGCTTATGATTCTGATACAACTTATCCACTTCAGGTTTCAGGTTTATCCACTTCAAACTAGTTTTTGTTTGATAATCATTTTTTAGCTTGAGGGGGAGGAGCCTTATCAGTATCACCCACCAGTGCAGCCGCCAATCGCTCCGCCATATTATTTTGTAGATGACCCTGACAAAAAACAAGGAAAAAATTTAACTGAGAAATCGCAGTCTGAGGCGAGCAGCAGTAGTCATAATTCTGAAATTTCAGATCTTTCTCAAATGACATTGTCTGACAAAAATGAAAGTCAACAATCTATACAATATGGCTTGACCCCCGAACCAAAATACCAAGATTTGTTACAAAAAGTTACGAAACTTCGTGAAAGGAAATCTGAAAAAAAGTTTGTCAAGAAAGTGGAATCCACTGAGATAGATGAGGAGACATTGACATTTATTTCAGGACTCACACAAACGCTAAATTTAAAACAAGGTACTCCTGAATATGAAAGACTAGTTTCAACTTTGTTAGGTCTTGGACCGTCTACTTGTTCTTGTTTAAATGTGGACAACTGAAGCGAATGATAATTTTTATGGCAATTTATTTGTTTGGAAATATAATTGTTATTCCACATAAATTCGTATTTTATTTGAACGAAAATTATTTCTGATAAATTCTATTAAAAACGTTAATGCTGATGCTATGTAGCCTAGAACTAAAATAGCGAAAGCACCCTCTACGTGTACCCACTTAAGTTTGACAATATTGTGCTCATTCGTGTGGTGAGTATAGAACTTTATTCCTCTTTGTACAGACATATCCATAAATTGAAAAACAACCTGAAAAAATATGTGAATACATTGTAATTTTTGTCTTGAAAATAATTGCTTCGTTCTCCCAGTAAGCTGCTAAACCTGCTTCAAAAACCCTTAAAATTAGATTGTCAAGCAAAGGCAACAGCACTGAATTTTTTCTGATCAGAAAAATGCACTGTTCCCAGTAAATATCTTCTTGCATAATCCTGTAATCAGCAATGATATCACGCTTAATGTAAGGCCCGACAGCGTAATGACCTGAAATTGTAAAAAATCTCAAAAACTAAACAATTACGTTGAGTACCATAGGGTAAGCGTTCAAGAGAGAACCCAAAGTTATGTAATCTAGAAGATGCAGCTAAGTCTTCTTCTTTTTTAACCACAAATCTATTTTTGATAATTTTATAGTCTTCCTAAAACATCTATTATTTTTGTTGGGATAATAGTACTTTGTGTAACCTCTTCCACTTGTCGCAAAGAAATAAGCCAAGCATCTGAGGTGGCACCCCAAAGTAGTCCACTAGAGGCCAAATCTTTAATAGATCTAATCGCTCTCTCATATCTACAATCACGCTTAAGTATCTAATTTATTTAAAACTTATGTGGTACCGAGGTACTGTCATCACGCTAGATAAGCCACTACTGTATGAACTAGAAATAAGTAAAACCATTATCATATTCATGGCAATAAAGTACTTTAACAATTTTCCTTTCAATGGAATAGTGAGCGACTGGACTAAGTAAAGCTTGATTATAGTCATGATGGAATCAGAAACAAAGAGCTTGCTGGAAAGAATTTAAAATAAAATAATAAGTATAGACAATTTGAATTAACATGTATTATTGTGCTACTTGTGATCTCCGTAGAATATGAGACTTAATACAATTGTATCAGTCAGTAGCACTATGAGTAAAGCGATCCACATTTCTAGTGAAAAGGAACGTAAAGGAGTAAACCATCCAGCTGCTAGTCTATGCAAAAAAACAAACTTTTTAGAGGTACTTTCACAGATCATAGATTTTTACTGAGGTGCTGGGACTATACAAGTTATTCCTGTCCTTGTCAAAGGTTTTGTATAATCCATAAACTTATAGTAATCTTCCCAAGTGTACACAGCAGCTGAAAATATCACTAAACCCTATTTTATGTTCTTAATACTCATACCTATGTATGTACCATATCCAATATCTACTGAATCATCTAGAACACTCCCCAAAAGCCCAATTCCAGTCCAATTGTCATAAATATCGCCCCACAATTCATCACCAATAACGGTGAAAGAAGGTGTCAAGTTATACTTTTGGACAAATTCATAAACTAAGCTGGTTTCAGTTCCATGGAAAGCATAATCATTCTTACCTAAATTTAACAAGTAAACCCTTTCGAACTTCCTTTTAGATTTCTTACCTATGATTGAGTATGGCTCGTATGTAAAAGTACCAATTTTCAATTGGCGTCCATTTTGGTTAGACAATTTGTTTGGGAACAGGTCCTTTCCATGTAAAAAACTGTAATTATGAGAATACCAAACATCCAAAAGTAGAGTTTTATTGATTTTCTTCTTATTTTGGTGTCCGTATTGATGTGTTATTATTTCGAAATATTCCGTACCATTTTCTTTATTTGGTAGGACTAGAAGGAGGTCACTTACATATTGTAATTCTTTTGTGAGAAGAAGTTTTAATGAATTTTGTCCTGTTGCGATGTATTTTCGTGCATTAAAGCGTTCGTTTTTTCGCCTGATTAATTTTTCAAATTGGACAAAAATGTCGGATGCATTTTCATGATGAATAAGAATGTCCTGACATCCATAATGTTGAAAAATTAAATGAGGATTTAATATGTTATTGTTTACTTTTAAGTATACTATCGGTGTTTCTACCCGCAAATCGATTGTTGAATCAGTAAACAAAAAAATGCATCGTGACTTGAAAAAATAAGTTTTTAATAAGATCTGCAATAAAACATTTAGTTTCGTCATTGTGAGGTACTGAAATGTAAAATGTATTTTGCTTTCATGTAGCAGTTCGTAAAATAATTGTAAGTAAATAGTGTTTTCTTTTGTGCATCTCTTCGTATGTTTACTTTTGAATTATTCCAAGTTTATTGTAATATGTCTTTGTACGAAATTGACTCGTGTTTGCTCTTATTCAACACTAGCATTATTAATGATCCTAAAACAGTGATAATTCTGTTTATCTACAATTTCACAGTAACAGTTTTTTGTAATTTATTTAGACTCATTATAATGCCACAAAATGAGTAAATCAATATTTGATTTTATTAATATCTAGTTATCACATTTACCTGTACTTAATCTACTTAAAAACTTTATTTGTTACACAATTTTTAATATGTAAATATATATACAGGTATATACATACATATACCTTGGGTGATTATGGCGGTACCGGTCATGCAGCTAATGTTGTATTACATTTATTAAAAAATTGCTTAAATAAGGGTCATTCCCTATAGGTATCTTGAAAACTTTTATAATAGATATAACCACTGGGACTTTAAGAATTAATCGAAAAAATTACCCGGTCGCAATAAACAATCAAAAATTACAAAGGAGGAAAACTGTAGCAAACTATGCTAATGACATAATAGTCGGAAAGTGGCATGATAAAAGGGACGTGACCTATATTTCAACGGAATTTGCTCAATAATTTAAAAACATATTTTAACAATACAAAAGGGGTGCCGAAAAAGAAAAAATTACACCTGTTAGAATACAATACAATATATGGGGGTAGTAAGTCGACAATATATGCCAGCGAAAAACAATGCGTTAGTACAAAAAAATTGGCATTTACATTTTTCAATTATTATTAATAAATTCTTTCTTTTTTCTAAAAAGTGTATGTTAAGTACAATGTCTTTGTATGATTTTCCCTTAGAAATTACTATTAGCTACACATTTTATAGGATTCTGTTCCAAAGGTCCTGGTCGTAAAATGTAGTAAATATTGTACCTACTAGTAAAAGAATTAGAAAAGACACATGTTTTATGTGCAAATCATGTTTCGTAGGATTATGCGTAAAACCATGTTGTGAAGAAAATCATAAAAATTTATTTTATGTAAATGTTTAGTTTAGTTCAACTTTAATCATCTAAGTTTATTTTTAGTTTATATATTTCTAAATAAAGCTTTACCTAGATTGTTATAGTTCTGTCTATGATTTTAGTACTTACTTGCGAATTAAAAAAGACTCATTGTGTTTTAGTTTACCCAAAGTCAGTAGAAATAATTCGTTTGTGAAGGTACCAATTTTAAGTTAGCGTACAGTTTGATTGGATAAGATAAATTGTTAGGGAATAGGTGTTCACACATTGAAAACTGTGATTCTTTTAATTCAATACATACAAAGTTACAAGTTCATTACTTTTGCTTCTGTTTTCGTGTCGGCATGCATGCGTTCTCATTTCGTAACATTCAGTAGGTACTACCTACTACTACTTTTTTCTTTTAGTACAACTAACAAGAGATTACTCACATATTCTAATTCTTTTGCATCTATCTAATTCTTTAACATCCATCATAGTGAAAAATTAAATGAGAATTTAATGTGTAGTATAACTAAACTATCGGTGATTCTACTCGCAAATCGATTATTGAATTGGTTAACAAAAATGCACCTTATTGAATTGAAAAAATAAGTTTTGTGGAGGTGGAGTAGGTAAATAATTGGCTTTGTGCGCCTATTTAATTATTTGTTTTTAAACATATTTGTTTGTTGTGATTTAACTCTTTAGAAATTTATAAATTCTATAGATATACGAGTATGTTTTTTCCGTAGTGTCTTTGGATGGTGTAATGAAACAAAGAGTTGATCCATATTTAATTTTATTACAATTTTATCACATTTAAGTATCTACACGTAATCTATAACCTTATTTTATAATACCTACAGTAAGTACATTACATCATTACCCTAATGAAATTAATTACTATAAATTACTGGAATATTTTCCCGAATCCAGGTAATGTACTTTTTGACATTGGTGTAAACACTTGGTACTCCAGCTGCCCCACATTGGTCAGAACCAAACGATAAAATACCCACCTAAAATAAGTTTGGTTGAATTTCGTTTACTTATAGGGTTTTATTTTATGTTTTTAATTATGTGAATACAATTGTTGATTGATATGAGATTGTTGATATTTGATAGTGATTTTTGAAGAAAACAGGAGAAAACAATATCAAACATTGTTTTTTAAGCAAAATTATTATTAATCATTTTGTTGCATAATCTGCTAATAAAGCGGCGAAAGAAATACAAGATTTTGATTCCAAAAAGAAATTAGAGAAAAACTATGATTTTTTAACAAAAAAACATATCTTATGTGCGAATAGATAATACAATGGAAAAATTAGGTTTGGAACTACTTCATTTGTGTATTTGGGGTATTTTCTCTTTTGATAAGTTGTGCTTCTTTATTTTTTTTTACCTGATAATGGGTCTCCCCATGTCTGACCATCAACGGCGCTCCTCCAAACCCGCTGCAAGCATCATTTCCAGCCTCCCCACCTGCACACAACTGATTCTCAGAAATGGGCAACGTCCTCCCATACACATTATGACACAATGACAAGTCAGTAATCGGCAAATAAAGGGTCTGTTGGTAGTTCGATGGCGTGTTTTCTTTAGCATTTCTGCCCCACCCAACTAAAATCCCATTTCGGTTTGTAACCGACCACGTTTCCGGTAGACAAATCGGTTGGGCAGTTACTGCAAAAAAGGATGTTGTGAAGCGTGGCAAATAAAGATTCCCACAGCCGAATTATCGATAATTCCGGTCCAGTGTCCTCAATTATGCAATACCTGTGTAGTTGATTTTATTTCGCAGAACTAAAAGGGCTATGTTGTTGCGGTAGGTCTGTTTGTCGTAGCCGGGATGGACGATAACGTGGCTGATGAGGACATCTTGGGCTGGAAGGCTGCAGAATTCTTCGCCACAGTCGATGTCGCTATCGGTGTTCCATTCACCGACACGGACTGATGATAGTTTATAATTGTCGGCTTTAGCGAGGGCACAATGAGCTGCTGTTAGAATCACTCGGTTGTTGATTATAGATCCTGTGCAAGGATACTTTATTTCGCCATTAAGGACATCTGTTAAAATTTTATATGTACAAAAATTTGATATTGAATTATTTTTGAGATTACTTCGAAATCCAACTCTTGCCACCCAGGGGAAGGCTCCTACACCATTATAATTGTCTCCTTGCACTTGCGATAAACCACATCTTTGTCCATCCACCAATTTTCCCGAATTGATGTTGTTTAAAGGATCGGCAATCAAGGGGCAACAGACATATCCTTGTCCTCCTTGATATCCACATCCGAGATTAGCAATTCTATGAAAATAGTTTTTGCAAAACTTATGCATTTTGATTAACTTAGTATACCTGTCTGTGTTTACACATGCATTATTTAAAATATCGTTAAGCATTGGACACTGTGATAAAGGCAAACATTCTGTATTGCGGGGGCATAAAGTAGCGCGCTTCTGCAAATTGCCGGTAAGTTCTGTGTACGTAAGTTGAGGTTGCCCTAAAAGAAAGACAAGTGGGGATTAATATATGTACTTTTAGACTAATTAAATTATGAGAATAGAAATTGTTCTTTTAATTTTTTTGTAAAACTTTGATCGGTCCGAGAAAACGGTTTGATGGATTGATTTAAAAATTTACAGGGCTTAACACTTAAAAACATCAGTTTCCTCATCGATATTTGTGAATAGGCGGTAGATTTACTAAAACAACGTAAAAAGTTACTTTTTTCAATCAATTAATCTTGAAAGTAAAAAATTGTTCTTCAAAAAATCGTTCAAGGATTTTGTAAGATGTTTATTTCAGTTTTTAAAAACTACCCTTACATTCTCTGTGCGGTCATTGGTTGTAGAGATATCGATTGTCAAAGACAAAAAGATTCTTTTTCACTTAAAGTTAGATATCTCAGCGATACATGACATAAAGAGAATATCAAAAAAGCATATTAAAGCTGAATTAAGAGACGATCCGGCTTGGCCTATGCATTGATTTAACTAAAAAGAAAATGGTCCGTGGACCAAAAACAAAAAAAAAACGCTTTTTTTTTCTCGCGTAATTTTTAGGATTGCGTGATAATCGTAGCACAGAAAAAAAAATTGTCAAAAGATCTTAAAACTAAAAACTTGAAGCCTCAAAATGTTTTTTTTTTAATTTAGATACGACCATTTTTAACTAAGAAAAATTACCAAAACACTTAGCAATTCTATTTGTTTCTTTAATTTTTTGGAGTAGTGTATATTAAGGGTAAGCAAGTGGGGCGCCATAATTGGATCTCGCTCCATCCTAAAACTTGCCTTGGGCCGTCACTGATATAATAAGAGAAACCAGAAATACTAGAAAAGTCGTTTAACAATTAATTCTTGTATCATGCAGCATAATAAAAAACAAAGTCAGCCGTTTAGCTTGTTATTCCGTCTTTCAAGAAGTGGAAAAGCTTATCCAAGCTAAAGAACTGATCCGCACGGAATTCGCTTTTTTGTTTCTTTTGACAATCATTAAATTGTAGTTATATTGTTGAAGTTTAAGTCGTAATTTTAGTTTAACTTAATTTAATTAGTTAGTTAATTAGTATACGAGTAGTATAATTTATTTTTGATGCATTTATTTTTTTAAGCGTTATTTCAATAGTTAGTTATATCGGTATATTACATTAGTGATCGTGAATAAAAATACTTATTTAGGCTTTGGCGGACCTTGTCTCTTCCTATTGTACAAAATTTATGCAAATTTTATCTTCATGCTCACCTACGACGGAATTAAAATGCGAAAGGAGATGACTCTGATAAAGAAACATCCTGTTAGACTATAAACTTCTAATTAACATGGTCCCGTATGCATTTTGGAATTTTCGCAAGGCTACGAACCGAAGGCTAATTTTTTCATAATTGTAATACAATAATAAAACTGATTTTAATATTCATAGTTCCATATTGTTCCCATTATTATTTTTTTCATTCATGCCTGTACTAATAACACAATTAAAACCGCAGCACTGACCACACGTTTAATAATCCATTGATCCGTGAAAGTGCAGACACACGCAAACCCAAAAAATTATTGAATTGTTCGATTGGAGTCCATGTTTGCTTTTATTAGGTCAAATGGCATGAGAGTTGGTCAAGCGTTTAAATCGTTTTAAATTAATACAGCTTTTTGTTTGTAAAAAGATATTGTTTGAGTAATTGAGCTTTTTTAGCCTTGAATTAAGTGGCACAGATAACAACTGTTACAATGGTCCGTTTCCGTTAGTTTTCCAAAAATTGTGATTTTGGTAGAGATCGTAAGAATTAAGATGAGCGGTTTTATTTTGAAGGTCTTGCCTAACGGAGCGTCGAATGATTATCATAAAACCATGATTTGAATGGATTAAGTTTGATTTTAAATTAATTAAAGTACTTTTGGGGAGGCAGCTAATTTGTCTATCTGACCTTCGCTAGTAAGAAATGGACTTCCTGTCGCTAAGTTTAACTTAATTACGAGTTTGGTGGACAACTGATTCGGACCAGTGAACCACTAAAGACATCCTACCGGTCATTCCCTTTTAATCCTCTTGTATTAATATCTAAATCCAAAAATTTTATTTAAAAACTATTCAAGTATCTACACATATATGTCGTCACAGTTAAAAGTTCAATTTGTTATTATTCATTTAACTACCTGCATCGTTTTAAACACAAAGTTCTATAGAATCCCCAATAAAATTTATTAAAATAAAAAAACATTATGATTGTGTTTCATTTTTATGGAAATGTCAAAGGATTTTTCTTTAATTTTTACAACTTACCTGTAATTATTGATGTCTGGGCCAACAATACTGACACAACATATATCACGTAGAACATTTTTACATACCACTTCATCGTTGTGTATACCACGATAGTGCAAAAGCCGAATAAAATCAGCAATGGTTTGAACGATTTATTATGACCTTCTCTACATAAAAAAATCATCATACATGCGTAACACACCATGACTGAGCCCCCCCAAGTCTCCCCACAATGCCAGTTTCAAAGTTTATTTTTATTGATTGCACCTGACTGTTAATAGATTATTAAAATTAAATAGGTAGATGTGTTGCAGTTTAATTGATGCGATAGTGGTATTAAATTATTGTCCTTTAGATAGGTATTGAGATTTATTTGCATAACTGACTTAACTTACTTGTCGTAGGTACTTCTTACCTCTAATGTGAGTACTTAATTTTTTTCAAGTACATGGGTCCTAAGTTTATTTTTTTGTCTAGAGAACAAAAAATCTAAAGACTGCATTACATTGATTTGTAAATAAATTCTATTTGATTTTATATTAATTTTTTAAATTTCGAAATGTTTCATGTTGTTTTTTTTTTGTATTTTAAAACTGTATGATTTGGTTGCCAAACTTTAGTAATCATAATTTATTTGTATTTATAACTTTTCGAAATAAGTGTTTTAAATGTGAGTACACAAAAGTACACAAAAATAGAACACAGTGTTATTTTGTTTTTTATTTCTATTAGGCCGATTTTTATGTCAATAACACGCATGTACATATGACCGCAGCAGCTAACCACATATTTATCTATAATTTAATGAACCATAAAATTCTGAATACATGCAGAACGAAAAAACAATGCTGAATAATTTTTTTAAAAGTAGATCTGTTTGCTTTTTAGATCGATTTATGAAATAAATTTTACTCATTTTTGTTTCCAAAAAATTTAGATGTATAAATAATATAGTGGCAAGGTTTCAGCCTCAATAATTTTTATACTCTATCATTTATTAATAAGTTCTTCCTTGACTGTGCCATGCCATGTTGAACCAACCTGCCTGGAGGTGATACAATAAAGTATCGAAACGTCGCGACGAATTTAATAGTTTTATTTATCTTGTCGCCTATAACACCCTTTTTTACGGAATCAAGTACATATGTTAATAAATAGTTTCCTGATCCTGTCTTAAATATTGACTATAGTTGAAAGAATGATTTTAAACGTCATATTTTTTTGCAAGAAAACCCTTCGTTTGTAATAAAATTATCTTAATTTATCTTTATTAAAGCAAAATGAAAACAGAAACAAAGCCTTTATGTTAATTTTTTTATACAGACTTATTTTCACACATTATAAGTACAATAATTATTTGCGCGTAAATTGATACGTAACTGCAAAGTTAGTTTTGCAAACTGCAACAATAATAACTGTAAACAGCTTCATTAAAATTAAAACAATTGTGTAAGGACTTCATCTTCTTAATTAAGTACATATATAACACAAGAGTACTAATGGTAATATATCGAGATATCAAGATAATTTGTAATCGAGTCATGTTTGGATCCGAAAACGTATGTCTGTTTTAGAACTAACTGCATGTGAAATGTCAAATAAAATGACAAGTTTTGACTTGTAAAACGGTAAAACGGCAAAATGGGATGTAATTGGTCACCGACGTATACTAATACGAGTAGGATCGGTTTTTTTTCGAAGGTAAATTATAAATTTAGTTTTTAAAATCGTCACTTTTTTGATCATGCCATTTTACCTTTTGACTTGTCATTTTACTTGACATTTTACAGACATACATTTTCGGATCCAAGGATGACTCGATTACAAATTATGTTGATCTCTCAATAGAAGTAGTTAAAGATTCTTGAATTTCTTGAATTAATGAGATATTATTTTTTTCTTAAATTCAATTGCAACACAATTGTCCACTTCTATATTATTTATTCTTCTATATTATGTATTTTTCTGACAATGAAATATTATCTGTAGAAGAGCAAAACTGAATTTGTGGTTTATAAGAACCTACATAATAAATTCAAATTGTTTTTCACCTGTTTTCATAATTGTTAACTCTAGTATAAAAAATGTAATACTAACAATGTATCCTATAAGTAAAAGAGCAAAAGGACCTTCAACATGACTCCACTGCAACTTTTCAGCTTTTTTTTCCTGTCCTTTATTGCTCTTGTAAAACTTTACAGCCTTTTGAACTTTGGCATTCATATAAAGATCAACAGCCTAGAAAACATTATTTATAGGGCATTATTTTTTTAAACGTACCAACCTCATTTTGCCAATGTGAGATTAATCCCGCTTCAAACATTTTCAAAATAAATAAATCAAGAGCAGGTAATAAAACAGAATTTTTTCTCAACATCATAACGCATTGCTCCCAATAGAGATCTTCTTTCATGACATGAAAGTTATCAATCGTATCTTCTGTAATATAATTTCCAATGGCGTAATTTTCTAAATATAGATAGGTTTCAAATTTTATTTTTAATACATAAGTAGCTTTTTACCAGAAGGAAGACGCTCTATCGAAAACCCAAATTGTCCACTTTTTGAAAACTTTAACAGTTCTTCTTCCGATATGGGATGGAATTTGCTTACGATTTTAATATAATTTGGCTCTTCAGTATGTTGTATTGACATAATCCAAGCGTCTTGTGTAGCTCCCCAGTCGAGTCCGCTGTTGGCAAGATCTTCAACGGTGTTAATCGCATTTTCGTATGTTGGGATGGTCATGACTGTTGCAAGACCACTGCTATAACTACTAGTTAAAAATAAATCTAAGATTAACATCAACCCCATCAAGAATTTGCTTGCAACTTCAACTGGAATCCGTTTCAAAGATACAGATTGTTGAAAAACCGGTTTTAAAACAATAGTAACTGCTGACTTCAAAAAGTAAATGTAGGTAGTTTTAGGTTTTGGAGAATATCTAAAACAAATGCCCATTAATTAAATAAAAAAAAAATTAAATTTACTTTAAATTAAATATCTTGTTGTGGTTGTAGCAAAACATTACGAGTGATAAGACGAAAATAGCGACCACAAGTGTCAATATAACACAAAACCAAAGATGAGAAGAGTAAGAAAATAGAGGAGTTAACCATCGTTGTGATAATCTAAAAACAAGTTTACAAAAATTATTGCATCAATTACTTTTATCATTTTATTTTACTTAGGTGCTGGCACTAAGCAAGTTATTCCAGTTCTCACCAAAGGTTTCGAAAGTTCTAAAAAATGATAACAAAATTCCCAAGTATAAAGTGCGGCTAAAATTTATATTTATGAAATGTTTTTTCAAATACACATTTTTACAAAATCCAACATCTGCTTTGTCCTCAACTAAATTACCCAAAAGCCCATTTCCCGACCAATTGGGAAAAATGTCACCCCAGTAGTCTTTCTCGTTAATTACAGGAACTGGTGTCATGTTATATTTAAGGGCAAAAAGGACCGATGACAATAATTCAGAACCGTGGTGGTCTTCAGCTGAGTTTCCTTGAAGAATAAAATGATTCGGAGAAAACTGTTTAACAAGATTACCAATGATACTATAAGGTTCATATGTAAAAGTAGCCATTTTTAAAGGCCTTCCAAGTTGGTTTTGCAGTTTGTTGGGGTACAAGTTTTTACCAAACAGAAAACTTTGATTGTTTGCAAACCACCTATCTATCAGAACAGGTTCATTATTGTCTGAAAGACCAACATATTTGTGAGTTTTTAAATCAAAAATTGTATCATGATTTGTTGGTAACACAAGTAAAAGATCGCTAATAAAATATAGTTGTTCAAGATTAAAAAAGTCGGTTTCAAAATTTTTGGAAGGATTTTGAGGCACTATTAGAAACTTCCGTTTATTGAATCTCTCCATCTTGAGACGTATTTCTGTCTCAAATTTAATTAACAAAGCCGTAATATTATTCGTGTAAATTATAACACTTTGGCACCCATGATAATGGAAAATTAAATGAGAGTTAAAAGAGCCATTAAGTGCTTTAATTCGAACGATGGGTATATCTCCCATATAATCAAAATTCTCATTTGAGAATATTAAAAGACATCGACCATTTTCAAGATAGTTGTTAATAATAAATTTTACTAAAATATTGATATAGAAATTGTTGAGCAACATTTTTGTGTTGTATGTTGTCTAGAAATTGTGTTCTTATTTATATTCTTTAGTTGTTGACCAATTGTGAATATTTCAGATTGTGATTCATTTTTAATGGCAAAAATACCTATATTAGAATCTCGTGATCTAGAATAATTTTTTACGTAATTTTTTATAAAGTTTTTGTTATATACCAAGAACTGAACTTGTTAGAAGCAATTTAGTCATCAGTAGATTAGTTTATTATGTGTATAGGTAGTGGTATTGTAGTAGATAAAAAACACATTAGTTTGAAATTCTCTTTATTTGTTTCATAATTTTTAGTATAATAATCTAGTAAATAGTCAATAATCTATTTTAATTAAGTATACTATTGTGTGAACAACCATTGAATGAGAGATGCAAGAACGTTTTTAAGATATTTACAATAAATTTCCTCAAAACGGATGATAGGAGGTATCACATGGTCGACGAAATTAAGGCGTGTTAACAATAAAACAATCGCTTTTTAAAGAACTCATTTAAAAACTTGTCTTTTTATATACAAACAATATTGAACAGCGTCTCACATTTTTTGAGCTTTCAAAGTTGGCAACAATGGTAAAGTTTTCCTTGCTGTACAATAACAAATTTTCTACAAACTGAAACCTATTAATCTCACTATTTTAGTACCTACTTAGACTATCAGATTGTTTGGGTCAAGCTATTATGTACAGTGGTCTATTTTGATTAGCAGATTGTTCAAAAGTTATTAGAGCGAAATGGTTATTGCTAGATCGTGCATAAGTCACACCGTGCACTTTTGGAAAAATAGAACAGTTATTGGACCCATTACTGTACAACTACCTACGAATCAAATATTTACAAGATGAGTACATGATAAAAGTCACCAGTGTTCAGAATTGAGTACGCCATCATTAAAAATTGACTTATCTTTTTTACAAAATGATAAAAGAACGGAAATGAAAATGACAAGAAGGTCAGATTTAAGGCTTATGGCTCGAAATAGACCCTCTGAACACTATCCTTAACAGCTAAAATATCATGAAAACTTGAATGATTATTGGAGGTTATCTATCTAGGATTTGGTCATTTTAAAATCTACTATTCACAAATTTATCATTGACTATATTTATTAAAATGCAGGGGACGTGGAACCTTGAAGACGAGTTGACTTGAGATATGTCATGTTCTTCGCCAAATAATACTGATTGTAGCTACGCAGAACAACGCAAGGAGTCCCTCATTGTTCCGTTTTTCTGGGGTTTAAGGGCGTTCCTTCTGGTTTCCTGAGTTCCACTCTTATTGCAATTGCAAGTCTACTAACATCAAGAACATCAAAATTTGGCACTTTCATCACTAACATCCTGTCAGAAAGAAAATGGATGTTGCATATAAAGCGATAGGGACATCCTCAGTTTGGCATCACTTAGTTGAGGAAATCGTTAAAAGTGTACTACTCGATATCATTCCTTAATCCCGCTTTGAATTCTGGAGGAACTTGTTTTTGGAAGCAATCGTCGAAAAATTGGCCCATGCTCTTGTATAGATGTTTCTTTACTCCGCCTAGACCGTGGCTCTCATCAGGATAAATCTATAATTAGAAAATCAAACTTGTTTGAACATTGATAATTTTTACCATACCTGCTGCCGGAAAAGCGTGCCTGCCTCTGAGAGGGATTTCACCAAAGCCATAGATTGTTGAAGGTGGACATTGTCGTCGGCTGAACCGTGTACCAGATAAAACATTTTATCCTTGAGAAGATGCGCTTTTTTGCTAACGTCAGCTTCGTCGTATCCTTTGTAGTTGTCCGTCACGTTAGGGAGGCCCATGTAACGTTCCGTATAGGCGGAGTCTGAAACCGTTTGAAACAAAAAAAAAGAGTGAAACGAAAGGAAATTCACGCATCGCAAAGGGAAACGGCTATAACAAAACAAATAAAACATATCTAAGGATAATGGACGATATTTTTATTCCGGTCGGGTTGGAAAGGACGTCAACTGTCAGCGTTGATAGTTGAATAAAAAGTAAATTTAACTTTATATCTTTTTTCTTTCTCTCTCTGAAACTGAATAGTTAATGTACTTGTTATTATTTTTTAATAATCCAAATTTGATCAGTTGTGATAATAACTGGTAATATAAATAATGACTATTATTTTTCTATGTTGTAAAGATGTCTAGAAACAGAAAAAAAAGCGAAAATAAACCAGTCTAAAATGTATTTTCTTTGACAAAAAGAAAAACAAAAATATGTTTGTAGTGCTTTAGCTTTATTTTAATATTTAATTTAATTTTATACTCATATTTTTTGATCAAGGTCGTACGACTGGACTTTGAAAGGCAAAACTCAAGTCTTTCATTTGATTTGATTGTGTAAAGTTTAAACTATTACAGTTTGTCAAAATAAATATTATAAGTAAATTATCTTTTATCTGCAAACGTCACAAAAGTGACCACTTTTATGACTAAATGACACAGGTAAAAGTTTTACTTTTCAGACATGGAGTAAAAACACTGTTTTTACGCCTAGGCGTTTTCACTTTTACTTGACACTTACTTTGACATTTACCACTGTTGTTTCTTTCTTGTCCCTTTCGCTTTTTCAGCATTTTCTGGAGAGGTACAAGGTAGATTATCAGCATTCGACATTTTGCACTATAAACTACACCAGTTATTCACCAGTTAAATCAATCAACACTTTCGAAATCTCAACACAAATTCCGAAATTGACGCGTGACGTTTGTTATGATTTTATTGCAAAGCGTCCTGATTATTGAGGTGATTTACTTGATTATTGGTGTGTTGCTCTTTTCGTTCCATCTGAATCGTTTGCAGATAAAATAGTATATGTTATTTGGAGTAAAAGTGAGTTTATGTGGCTCAGCTGAATCCATTTGCCTCACTCCGTTCGGCAAAATGAACGTTCAGCTTCGCCACATAAACAATCACTTTTACTCCTAATAACATAATCTACTATTAATCTTAAATTTTGCTACTATAGTTATAACAACAAAAGTAATTACCTATTGCACGTAGAGTATTGGAGACAATTATTTGATTGAAAAATATTATATTATTCAACGAGCACATAATGTGAAGCTGATTCGTAGTACAATGCCGTTGTAAATCCTAAAGATTGCATAAGAAAAAATGTCATCAAACCAGGAATTCTGATTTAAAGGTACTGAATAGTTGAATAGTAGCTTAATAAATATCGAAGAAACGTAGAGACTACGAGTACATACATGAAAATTTTAAGCTTTGCTAACTTAATATAGAAAGAAAACAAACAATCTGAATGACAAGGAGTGGCGCCAAACTTGTTTCATAGTTTTAACATCTGACTAAAGCCGGTGTTGAGTTTAACTAAATACATGTAACTATATTTTTTTCATAACTGATTTCGACTTAGTTTCATACTTTATTAAATATAAGAAAAATATTGGTAACATGCTTCTACGAGTATTTCTACTCAGTGAAAATTTTGTATAAATCAAAGTAGGTAAATCAAGATATCAAAATATTTTTTCAGGTTTTAACTTATTTGAAATATGAACCATATAAGAAGCCATTAAAAGCCTTACCGTAAAGCTTCCAATTGGTAACCGGTGCCACAGCGATGGCACATCGAAAAACACTTTTGGGACTTGCCAGCGCTAATGCGGCGACGAACCCACCATAACTCCATCCCCAAACGGCCACCCTCCGTTTATCGATGAAGTGGAGTGTATCTCGCAAGTATCTGAAATAGAATTTTTTTTCTTCAAGGTAAATTAAGCAAGGTTTTATCGGCTTCTTCAAGTTTAATCTACTTGTTTTGTCTTGTACGGCAGCGATGTGCTTAACGAACATTATCCTCGTAAAAAAGAGTGGATAAGGGGATCCAGAAACGTAGTGATGTCTCGGTTCAGAGCAAAATTACTGGGATAGGTCGGAATTAAACTGCGGCTTTTTGCCCCATTTACCAGAAACGTTATCCTATGGTTTGCTATGTTGATGCCATGTACACAAGGAAAGCCAATGGAGTCTATGATCGGGGATTGATAAGATAAATAAAAGAGAGCATTTGGGCAGATGCCAACATTCGAATAATTCATATAAGTAAAATTTACGATGCAAGAATTTATCCGCCCTAAATTTTCATTGTTTGAAAGGATATTTTTGAACAAAAAAATTGTTTGTTTGGGTTTAGCAAATATTTTTATATGAATTATCGTGTAACAAAAATATGAAATTTCACGAAATATCCTATCATTCGTATAAATTACGGCTTGACTAACCCAATTCTGCAATTTAGAACAATCGAGTCGACTTCGTCCATTCCCTAAATTTATGCATTATCGAGCTGAATCGAACTTACTCTGTAACTTCTAGCTGATCAGCCACTTCGACCGACCCCAATTTGTAATAAACTTTATGCAGAAGTTGGTGGCCTTGACCTCCAGATCCTCGCCCGTCTATTTGCGCAATAATAAAATCCTTATTTCCTGTCAGATACGTGTTCCAATCTACCCGCCACCTTTCTGTTACCAGCTGACTCCCAGGGCCCCCATACACCTGAACCACCAGGGGATACCTCAGGAAATAACCAACATCAGCACTTTTTTAGACCTGACACAAATATCTAGTTACCTGGTAATCTCATCTTCTCTCAAACCGGGCGGTAAGTGGAGTCTTACATGCGCTTGATACCCCCCGGAAATCTGGACCGGAAATGTCTTTATTTGTGGCATAGCCATCTTGGCTACCATCTCCCTCAACTTGGTATTATTCTGTAGATTGACTATGAGTTTCGGCTTGGGCATCGCCGTTTTGTACAAAACACTGTAAGGAATCGCCGGACCAAGGCACTCTAAGACGTAGTATTTCGAATTAGGGCTAAATATAGCATTGTGATAGAGGCATGAAGGTTCAGTTGGTGTTACTTTTTGTTTCTTTTTGCGCCTCTTTGGCGCAGGTGTTGTGATAACCGTACTATCTTCATCTTCATCCCAGTATTTGCTTTTCAGAAGGTATATGTCTTCGTCCATGAAGAAATAAGGAGGAGTAGTAGGGGCAGGCTCTGGGACGCAAGTGAGACACACCGGAGGAGGCAGGGTCGCTCCGGTTCTTGGCGGGACTGAAGTTACTCGGTAGAGGTGTTGTTGGCCTGGTTTATTTTCGGGTATCCCCAAGAAGTAGCTGTTTGAAAGAAGAAAATGTATTATAAATCGAGCGGAGGCGGACTTGTTGAGTTTCGGAGTGTATAAATGTTTCATGCACGTAGCCGTGTTCAGTTTTTAGGTCAACATAAGGGTGAATTAAATTTATCTAAGTAATCGCACAAAATATTAATAAAAAGAGTGCTTTCTCTTCGTTTTTGTGTAATAGAACAATCGCAAAGTGTTAAAATTTACTTGTTCCGTCTAATATTCTGCTTGTCTAATTGCCACAATCAATGTAATTAAAAAAAATAATTAACATATAACTCAAATAAAACGTTAGTTAAAAACTAATAAAAAACTAAAACTGCATGTACGCAAAAATATATGTCATAATCCATTCTCTGAAAACTAGCTCTAGCTGTATGCACAGAGCGGAAGTTGGGGCTCTAAATCTTGGATCATATCTCACAACTGCAGCGAAAATAAATAAATTTCTAAGCCACTTTTTGTCCAAAACCGAGCTTTGGCTTCGTCTATGTCTTTGCATACAAACAGCACATTAAATTACACGCCGTCTTCCAGTTTTTCAAATCAGAAAATTCAAGCCACGTGCTCCCTATACTCCAAAATGTCAAATTCCGACTTACATGACGTCGTTCGAATGGTCCCAAGTAAGAATACGTGTCACCTCGTACTTCCCATGTGTGAGAGGAATAATTCGCCTCTTTGGGATATTGACGGAGACGGCGTGACGGAAATAACCGGCGGGGCCGTCCCTGACGGGTGCCACTGTGATGTAATTGCTGCTGTCTGTGCCAAAGACCGGGCTGTCACCCATGTCCACCCAACCGTGACCGTCGCTGGTGATTCTTTGGGTCTGGGGAGGAAATATTGATAAATAACGGCTAGGCGGAAATTTATGTTTGGAAGAACTGCTGAATTTCATGTTCAAAAGTTGGTAATGTGCCGCTCAAGTTTTGCTGAGTCTTTATTTAATTGCTTGCCCTTTCATCCGGAAAAGTTTGGGTTTATGACGAACTTGTTTCTTGTTTGAGGAGGTTATTGATTACGAAAAACTGAGGTTTTTAAACCAAACTTTGAGAGAGTTTTGCTATCGAGAAAGTTTGCTAATGAACAACTCTGGAGATGAGCACTTTTTGAATCACACCTAAAAATGTATTTCACTGATATTTTTAAAAACTCCTGTTGTCATGTTCAACAATAAAAAAGAACCATTTTATCTTCCTTCGAGGCCAAAGAGGGAAGAAAAAAAACTTTTACATTTTAGCACCACTTGAGTCAGAGAGATTATGTCGAGATGCTAACTTTAGTTTATTTCCATTTAATGATTCATTTGGTTTTAGATTTACCCTACCTTATCATACTATTTTTACCTTATTATGAGGTTGATACTAAAACAACTTCATAAAAATATCATAACTTTCTGTTTTACGGCTCGTAAATTTCTTATTATTGAGGATCACTGTTGATAATTCTTCTCGGATCATATCGAAATGATTTACCTATAAGTCTATTATGCATAATAAAATCGGGATAACTGGAGTAAACATAAAAAATCAATTTGGAGATTTCATTCTAAAGCGTAAAGCCATCTCCATCACTTTTTTATGAAAAAATGAATTACAAAAGTGCTTACCTCTCTGCAATCCCATTTAGGACTGGTGCATATTGTGATCAAAGATAAGTTCTGCGGTCTGTTTAACCAAACCACAGAAATCTCCGTCAAACTGATCCAAGAAACTGAAGTGAAGTAATATTCCCTGAAACCTCAAACAATTTCAGCGCGAACAACATTAAACTAATCGTAAATGAAATGTCTGACTTTCCGCGATAAAGACTATAATATTTGTTGTTGCTGCGGAATAAATTAATGCTTAGTAGGGGTCGTATTCTAGATCGATCTACTCCAGACAAAATTTGCAATTACTGTGCTAAGAGACGAAGCGAATATCCTAAAGAGAAGATAATAGATAGAGTTCCCGAGAAGTTTTAATTTATTTATATTGATTAAATAATTAATTGGATCGCAAACAAACCTCCCTCTCTAAACCCGAAACCCATTAGAGTAAAGTCCCTTGAAATTCAATAAGGTCTTCTTAGACTTACACATTGGCCAGTGCAACTGGTGGGATCACGGTTTTTATCTTGATATTCGACGTGTCGGCTAAGTCGGCTATGGTCAGGGTTACCTTGGGATTTCTGGTTCCAGGTTTGGGATACCGGAGCGACCGGATATCAGGATAAAGTCGGCCTTCATTTGCCGATCCATACCATGGAAATCTCAACTCTTCCACCAAACTGTCGTTGAAAGATGCGAAAACTAACAAAAGACCGTCACTCGACATCCATAAAGCGCTGTTGCTACCCAAGATCTCTTCTGTAAAATGATGGGTTACTCCGGCAACTTAAGATGGCTTATCTACCTTCGTAGAGCCAGTCCGGAACTCCATGACTCACCACGCCCGGAACCGCGCTGTTGGTTATTCTATAGCCAGTGTGCGAAGTGGGACTCTTCCTGTAGTAAATATCGTAATCCTGCACCATTATGAGGCCGTGGCCTCGAGGCGCCCATTCGGCTAAGAGCAGGTAGGGATGCTCTTCCGTTTCCGGCATTGGACGCAAAGGGAAATCGTTACTGTAAATAATTGGATAGGTAGGCAAATTATGCTTTCTGATAGCGCCTATCTGATACCTTTTGAGTCGGAAGCCGGCACTTTAGACTTAATTTACATAGGCGGAAAGGTTCGCCAAGTACCTAATTAGTCAACAATAACTTTTCTAAATAAATATAATTTTGTCATTTGTGTTATTCTATTAAACAGGAGCACATATTTATATTTTTGGGCTATAAGAGATAAAAAGTAAAAGAAAATTTAAGTTAGTAACTTAAAAATTTCACTAAACAAGTTTTTATAGAAAAAAACTTGAAACTTGTTTACTACTAAATTGCGTTTATTTTGTAAATTTAAATTTTGCTTTGTAAGTTATTTCTACTTTTGTGTGCCCACGGAGAATTTTGAACAACGTTATCAAGAATCGGTGACCTAATTAAATTGAATGGGTGAACTATACCTACCCTGTTTGAATGTCGTAGATTGTATACTGCGCCAAGTAGGAGTGTCTGAACAACTTTTGCACGTTCTGTGCCAAAAGCAGATATCTCTGGTCCGCGCTGAGCTGGAATCTGGCTGGATTCAACCGCAACTGTAAAAAAAGCAATACAAAACGACTAGATTAGCGTAAGAAATATATACTTACGAAAGTTTGGTTGGACATCAAAGTGCGAACTGACAGGTTGGACGCTTTCATGATGCTGATGCCTCCCCATTGGTCCTTGTAGACTAACTCTTCGCCTGAAACATTTTCAGCTGAAAAAAACCTACAGATTTTCCGGAGGGAGAACGAAAAGTAATTGCTTAAACGACGGCGGGATTTCGCATCGTAAATAATTTATGTTTAACCCTTCCCAGATGAGAAGTATTTGTCCCTCAAGAGGCAGCGATAAAGCGGCCTTTGTGCTAAAGATTTGTCTTGTAGAGAATTATTCTTTTGTTAATAAATTTTTATGTTTTTCTTGAAAAGTGATTTGAAAATTTTCTATTTAAATAACTGATCGGAAGGTTGCGTGGCGATACGTTCCAGAAAGAGCACAGTAAATCCCATTTTTACAAGAAATTCAATTTTCCTTCTTCCCCGTCGTTCCTTCTTCGAATACGCATTGTAGTAATTCAATACTAACAGAACGTATCCATTGAAACGTAACAGAATCAACTCACTCGACAAATTAATATAAACGTGAAATTTTCGAGAAAACGAGAAAAATCCAAATCTCCATACGAATTTTCATACTGCGATTTATTAAAAGCAACAGAGCTTTAATTTATTGCGCCTAAGGGCACCGAAAGTCGAATATTACGTAAAAGGGCGACGAAATAAATTATTAGCCATTAAAAGAGGAGATCAAATATTAATTGTAGAATCGATCGCGTGTGGCATAGGAAAGTATGTTTTCAGAGATCATTTTAAATTCTTTCAGAAGATAAATTTTCGCCATTAATGAAATTATTAGTTTGCGAGAGAAGATAAATTGATGGCTTTAAAACGAAAGAGGATTTAACTTGGATATGGTAAACCCAATTTATGTTTTTACTTCAGACCAGTCATGTGTGAACATCTCTTTAATCTTTTATTTTACTCCAATTACTGAAAAAAGTCAACAACAAAAATATTAACGTCGTATTTTATCGGAAAAACTTTTCGTATTTTTTCTTTTTGTAGCAAATAAAAAAATTAAGTCTAGCTACATCAACGCTTCACCCCAATTGGATAATTACATGTCATTTTACACAATCACATAGCAAACTTATTCCGACACAAAATAAAAATTTCAAAAGCTGCACAATTTAGTTTAAGTTTTACTCCACTTCGCATTTTTATCATGTAATGAAACAAAAGGACTTGTATGTGTATTAGACTTAACGATATTAATGTCACCATTTTCGAGGTGAAGAGAGTCTCTAGTTTTAAAGCTTTCAGATTATTTCAGCCAATTCGCTTAACTCGGGAAGTTTCAATTGTGAAATTACTTTAATCTCAGTTGCAATTTCATTCTAACAGGATTATGTACAGGTGTTTCAAAACTCGCGCCCCAGAGAAAAATGCCAAGTAAGATAAGGTATCAGAAACATGGAAAAAAATGTTTCAAAAATTCTAATTGTTAAAAAATTTTACCATTTACTTTTTGAGATTTGACTTTTTTATGACTATTTGATGTTGCTGATGACTTTGTATATCATGTAAATGAAATTTGTCTTTTGGGTTGCATGGCCAAGAATCACCCTGTATTTGTACATAAAATTGCTTAATGTGTGTTACCCTTTTAGTCAATAAAATCAACCATTATACACAGAAATCTCACAAAACATCATGAATATAAAATTTGTTGAATTCATTGTACCCAAAAATGCAGTGATAAACGAATCAATATTTTAGTTATTTGACTTTTAATTAAATCTTGTGTAAACAGTTAATAACGAAACTATGTAATTTAATTTTAAAAATTCTCGTATATTTGATTAACCACTTATGTAAATGTACATATTTTATTTTTAATACACACCTAGATAAATACATATAGGGTAATAGATAAAACTCCAATAAAGTAGGTACCGAATTTTTATTTCCAGATATTAATAAATTAAGAAAAATACGACGATTGAAATACCATAAAAACGACTAGAGAGTCCGTAAATATTGAAATTTGTCATTTTTGTTCCAAGTACCTAAAATGTAGCTTTTGCGGTCGAATTGTTGTTGTTTTGGGATAGAGATGAGTCCGAAAAAGCTTTTTAAGTACGAGTTACAAACATAATTTTTTTTTGTTAAAACTTCCTAAAACACATTTAAATTTGATCATACATATGTATGATAAATGTGATCAGAGCAAATATTTCTCGAAAATAGTGAGCTTTTATGCCATGCTACCATAGTAACAACATCGTTTTTTTTTCGTCCACAAAAACTGTATTTTAGGTACTTGTACCTAAAACTTTTTTAGGTGTTTTATTATTGAGTCCAAACTCATTTTGTGGACTTAAATAAATCCGTAAAATAGCAAGTTTTAAGAAAGTTAAAAAAAATGTAATTTTTAAATAGTAACATGTGTTTATTCAATGAAAAAAAAGATAATGTGTATTTTCGTGTCTCATCAAAAAGCGTAGAGAGGCCAAAAGATAAAATATACACTTATGACATATCCTAAAAAGAAAAATGCCCAGATATATTATTCTGCAGAGTGAAGTTATTTGTCATTGTGTTTTATGCCTCCGTATATAAATGACCAAGGATTTGCTCTATCGTGCAAGAGTGGCGCTGGAGTTGTTGATTTTTCAGAAAAAGAGAGCTTATTACATACTCGTACGAACAAACAAAAGTTGAAATATTCTTTTTACCCCAACTTTGTTACACGAAACAGTAAAATGAAAACTGTTAAAAAAAATTGGGAAGCAGCGACAATCCCACAATTGCTTTGTAACTACGTGAAATTTTGCGGCAATGTTTAATCCTGAATTTTAAAATTAAACAATGTACCATTCTTTAGCAACTTAAACTTAAATCTTCAGAAACACGTTTACAATAGGTGTCTACATTGATTTGTTGCGAAATTAGGAAATGGGAAGCGTCACTACGACATTCAATAATTCCACTTGGGGATGTTAGAAAGTTTAGAATGTAATTTGTTGGCAGAACTTAAGGCATTCTAGAGAGCTTACAAAATCAATGTCATGGGTGTTTAAGATTGAAACTAGGGGATATTTATTTGAACAAGATAATTACACATTTACATAATTCATAACATACTTTTGTAGATAATATATTTTACATTATTTTGTACCTTCATCTACCTAAATAGGTAGATGTAGTAATTTATTATTTGAAATATGAGTTACACTCCTGACTTGTTACACCCACAAGTCGTAAATTTGCGTTGAGATGTGATCATTTTAAAATATTCAAAACACGTAATTTACACGTGTCCAATAAAATATGCGAAGTTTAGTGCTAGTGAATTATGATTAATGTTTTAGGAGTAGTATTTTTATTAAGGGTTTGTTTTATGTAAAAACTTGTGTAAAATTATTGGAAACCCATCTGCAGTATCGCTTGTTGCACCCCCGAATCAGCGTCCTTCAATCCCCCGCACAGGTTTAATCTGCCTCGACCTCCCGGACGATTTATTTTCGAATATCTTTCGGAAGCACAGCCATAAATAATGCATGTTTGATATCGTTTGCAGGAAAACCTCCTCCGTCATTCGTGACCCATCGATTTCTTTCTCCACTGACCTGAAATCCACGTGCCGTTAAACCTCAACGGCTGAAAGTCGTGGCTGAGGATGTCCTGCAGCTTGAATCTGGCTCCTTTGATCCGGGGACCTTCGTCTGGGGGAGTTAAGAGAACTACAGATGTCACAATCAAGGCCAGAACTACCACGATGACGAGGAGCGCTATGAGGATTCCGCGCCAATTCCTTTGGTTCGTGTTGCTTGACACGAGCTCCTGAAACAAGGAGATACTCTAGATACCGAACTATAAAATAAAATAAAAATAATTTGGTTTTGCCGTGGCTAGGATCCAAATCTGGGTTACTCCGGCCACAACGTAGGGTCCTAACGACTAGAGTGACTAAACGGTTTGCTATATTCAATTTGTTTTCTTAGAGGCAGTCTTTAATTTTTTTCTGTTGGATGAAACTTAAATATTCATGAAAAAGCATGCAGTTTTCTACAGCTAATTTGGTTCGCTGTAAAGGTTTCGCCTACAAAAAAAACCATACCAATTTACTAGTTCTACTTTTCTATTTTTATTGCCTAGGGGTTTTTGCTTTAGATCAATTAGTGAAAGCGGTTCTATTGCCTGCAGTCATTTGTTTGTATTGATCGTTGCAGTGTTACAAGTTTGGTTTAATGCTCAAGCGAATCGGAAATAGATAAATCGATCTCATTTACGTTTTTTTAATAATACGTAGATCATTTTTTTTTTAAATATGTATTCAATAAACTCTGTTTTTTGAACTACCCATGCACTATAAAACAACCTTAAGTGAGTCTCTTAGTAAGTAATTTTAAAGTAGGTATGTTTCTAAAACTTTGTTGGCAAAATTGTGGTACTTACTAATTTTTTTTTATTTATTGAAGAATTTTTTTTTAATTATTACTATTAGAACTTATTTCATATCTGGTGGCGAACTGACAGTGACAGAAAAAACACCTGGAATGCGCTCACTTGGTTAAGATAAAAAAATACATGGGCGTAGTTTTTTTTCTCTAGAATTTTCGTAGCTGTCATTTTGAAAGAGTTTGCAATCGGGTGATCACAAATAAAGACCAATATTTAAGTAGGAAAAATCATTTAGATGTAATAGTTAATAAATTTATTATAACCGACGACAGCAGCCATGAAAGCGATTTTTGCTTTAGTAATTTGAAGGCAAGGATTGTTAGGAATATCATTTAAAAAAATTCTTTTCAGGCGTTAACGATTTAATAATTAATAATTTGTTCATGATTCTTGATCTTATGTATGAGTATCTACTTATTATAATTTTTTAAAGAATAAGAGTGGTTTTGAAATATTATTTAATAAACAATATTTTTTTTTAATATTCAGTCATTTTTGACAACGTCTGTTCGCCACCAGATTTGGAACAAGCTCTACCAATGTGTATAAGGAACAAAATTTAGGGTGTTCTCTTTAAAAAAGCAACTATACCTACTTATAAGTTTTTAAATGTGCTAACTACATAACGGTGTAGAAACAGTTTTATTTTTTCGCAATGATGAATAAATATTAAAGTGAGGACTTGTTAGAGTTCTGTTAAAAAATAATTTTTTGCTATGTCGATAGTTAAATTGCTGTTTAAAAGATTATATAAATTATGTTTTATTTTTAAGTTTTTTTGTTGAAGAAATGAACAAAACAAAGGAATAAAAATTTAATAGTTTAATTCATTTCACTTTTGCTGTTTAAATAGTGAAAGTCGGAATAAGTACAAAATGGCAAGTGTTTTATAACATTACATTGCAGCAGTTGTTTGCCTATTTTAAATGTCACAAGCTAGTTGTAAAAGTTGCATCGTTTTAATATTACATTTCCGTAATATTGTATGACATTTTTCTTCAAATCCTCACAAATCGTATTCATTCCAGAGCCATAAAACTAACACCAGAAAGGTCACCAGTACCTTAATTAATTTCTCCCATAATTACCATTTTCAGTGGAATAGTAATTACTTGCCACGACATCGTGAGCTTTGTTGCTGCTTTTCCAACATGAAAGCTGCGGTGTCGACAAGAATTCCAATCGTTTCGCTTTAATTACATTTAGTGTATTTTCCTCGTTTTTTCTACTCATTTTTCTTTTGGAAAATTTTATCTCACAGACACACTTTTTATGTGAGAAACAGCAACACACAGATACATATTTTATCAGAAACGAGCATCGAACTAAGAAACTTTGCTATAAAGAGGAGGCGGAAAAGGAAGTTGGAAACTCGCAGATAACTAAACTTGACTTGAATTCTCAACACTTCTTGTGAAATATTTGTAGCAATTATTATTTATTGTTGAGAGTCGGCATAAATTAGGTTTCTTGGAGTGGTGATTTTTTTGTCGCCCTTTTTTTTTAATATAAAAAAAGGTTTTGTTTCATTCAGTCATCTTGAGACATCTATTGTTAGACGTCAGATAAAAGAGAATTTGAGAATAATTTCAGATGAAAAACTACACATTTTCATGAATACTTCAGAGAGGCTACCTTTCTTTCATCCATCTCGCATTACTCAACTCCGGGCGAAATGTTCATCTTTGACGTATTTTTTTTCATCAAAAAACGAAAGAATCGATACTGACTCATCTAATATTAACTTTGCCATTAATCAGTCTCGTGTCACTGTCAGGCGTGAATTTTAACCTAATTAGGTGAGTAGCGAACGTCACTTCCAGAAACCTCTTTAAAAACAAACAACAATTTCGCACACGCACGGAGAAAATTGATTTTGACTCGTCGTTGGCTTCCCCAATTGGAATGTTTGTTTTATGGGTTTCGATTGACGCCTGGGTGTTATTTTCAGGTCTTTGAAACAACGCAGCATTTTACACAGCTGTCTTTATCAAGCGAATATAAAAAGCTCGCTTCGTGCTTAATCCCATTATTCCGCCATTCACTGCAAATATTTGTAAAAAAATAATGAAACATCGTAGAATTTATTAGCAGATATCTAGCCAAGAATTTGTCAAATGTCGCTTTGGACTGGACTCCCATTAATCAGTTTCATTTATTCCAACTTGACCCATTTGTCGCAGATTTTCTAATAAATTGTGAAGATTTTTCACTCAACAAAAAGAAGATCTCTATGCCGTGACCAGGATTCGAACCTGGGTTACTACGGCCACAACGTAGGGTCCTAACCACTAGACGATCACGGCTAACTCAGATCTTGGCAGAAGTCAATTAGAAAGGCTTAAGCGAGGTGAAACGCTTTCTCCTTGCTCCAGTTTAAAAGTTATTGAAGCAAAAAGTTGTAACTAATGTCTAAAATGATTCGGAATCAATTGGAACAAAACTTACAATCACATTCAACCACCCACTCACCTGCTTTTCTAGCTGTTTATATATTTAGCTATTTATATATTAGGGTGATTTGAAGTTACCTCCAATTGCATAAAAAATTAAATAAATAGTAGTAGTTTAATTATTATTTCTAAATCTTATTCATTCTCTTCAACAAAGTCTCTCGTTTAGTTTTTTAAATGTATTGAAAATAAACAATTCATAATATTAAAGAGAAGTTTCATAAGAACAAATCATGTATGTGACTGTTAATAATTTATTAATAAATTTTAGTGTATAAGGGTATTTTATGAGTACGCAAATAAGTCTAAGCGTGTTTATGCACAGTCATAAATTTCCTTGATTATTAATTCTCTTCAGTTGAAAATTGCATATATGCAAATTGGTTCAGCACTACACAAGTTGACAAATTGGATGACGACATAATTTCTCCAATTTTGCAGAACAATAGAAAATCTTCATAAATTTTATTTCAAGAGAAGTCAATGCTTCTTGAAAGACAAAATAAAGAAAAATCTTTTCTACAATGAAGATAGTAAGTCACCTTATCGCTTGGTATCCGTTTGAGAAAGAAAATAAAATTTTATCGCTACGTCAAACTTCTTGTTGCAGACTTGATGTCCTCTTTGTTGCTGCAATTTAAAATAAAATTTTCTCGTTTCATCGTAAATGTCAAAATATGTTAGTGTAGTCCTCCTAAAATTTCATTTAACAAAGAGAATGTAGATGGAAATCTTGTATTCTGTTCCTATTTTTAATTATTTTGCATTTCTGTTTGAATAGAACCATTGTGTTCGTAGTGGCAAGTAATCAATATTCAGTCAACTCACGTTCATTTAAAAATAAAACACTGATAATCGGTTAGTTGCTCTAACATTTCCTCCTATTTGATGTACATTTTTCTAATTCAAATTCTAATAATCTTCATAAATATAAAGAAAGATTATTTAAAAGGGAATAAATTAGTTTTGGAAGATGCTGCTTTAATGTAACGTCTTAATCCAGCCTTTGACACTTAAATTAGCGCAACTTGAGCATGAGCAATCGCGTTAGTGCACAAACCAGCCCCAGACGTTTTAAATTAAATCAATTCTTTTAGCAAATGCGTCACCCCCTTTATTACTACGAGCAGATATTGTGCTAATAATATTCCAGCCGACTTCAGAGTGTTGTTCAAATTGGAGAAAGATTGATATTCAACTCGGGCTTTTTCATTTTAATGCGTTTTAGAACTCTTGCGTCAAACAAATAGACAAATTATGTAAAACTTGGTATAAAAAAACATATAAAGATGCTAATGGACATATCTAAAAGTTGGAAGCGAGGAAGAAAATCTCTTGCAACTTTTATTGTTTTACTTTCTCTTCAGCTACAAATGTTTAGTAATAGCTTAAAGTTTTACTTGTGCTTATTTTACCCCGAGGTGGGAACGCTAAATTCCCCTTTAAAGTTTTCGTAATAATTACACCAAAAGTTGTGAATTCATTTTTGTTTACATGTCACCGCTTTGATTTATTAGCTTAGAATAAAAAAGACCTTTGGCGTGTTGTGACTGCAAATTCTTGCTTTTGTTTAGTTTGGCTTCCTGGAAACATGAACCGTCTGTTAAAAGCTCGCAATATTCCTGCCTGTGTTTTAACATTTGATGGTTGATATTTTTTCATGATTTGGTGTTTTATTTCTTTCAAAGGTTCAATTTAAGAGTCAGAATAAATTCCAAAAAGCAACCGTCCTTTCACTGTTTCTACTGTAAGTATCACATTGAGACCTGCTCTGGCCGAATGCCGACTTTTTCATGCAAATGAGCTTCTCAAGCTTTTTCAGCAGTTATCCCAAAAAGAACGAGCAACACGTCTGTTATCTCACGGTTTCGTCACGAAAAGATAACCAGCTTAAACGTTGATTTTGTATATTGTGAAAGCGGTCGAGAGCTTTGTCAGTGTCAAGACACGCGATCGGGTTACATGGAGCTTTAAGCGCACTGCTTGATTTATTTGCTTGTTGAAAAGGTCGACAAACATTAAGGAGAAATATTGGATTGTTGATAGGTATAAGTTAAATCTGGAAAAATGTCATTGGCCTGAAAGATTTGCACAGGGAATGGCAACAGTTGACCGATAAAATCGGAAGTTCTCTTAAACGATTTACAATCAATTGGTGGACGAGCTTTGGGAGTACTTCATAGAGATATATAAAAGCGATACGGTGGCTAACGGAGGCTTCTGCACAGTTTATTTTTGATAGGAGATAAAGTTAATTCAGGCACGGCCTTAATCAAGATGTGAGGAGGTTCTTGAGAAATATGTCGTCATTCAGAATTCAAAAGCTTTGTTCTTTGGAAATATCAAAGCTGAACGGAATATCTTAACTAAAAACTAAGTTTTTCATCCTTCTTTTAAGTGGGCTTACTGAAATTTGTAAAAGTACAGTAACAACATTTAATTTTGTATTATTTAGTACGTTAAAATAGATAATTTTTAAGATGCAGAGAGGCATTTAGAGAATGAATATTTTAAATGATTTCAAATACATTTTAGTAGCTTCTCTAATTAAATGTTAGAATTATTACAAGCAGTTGTTTTTTTAAATTTTCTAATGTCTAATAAATGATTGCTTTCAAAATTCTGAAAAAATATGGATCTACTCGTAAATCCTGCAAAGCATCAGATGCAGTTATTTTTTAATAGCATACCAAATTTCCATTATGTAGCTTAATTTCAGCTAAGCTCATAAACACGCCAAAATAACTCAAATGTTTATATTAGATTTAAAAAGATTAATTAATATCAGTACTTTCGAGGTGCCGACTCACGAGAGATTTCGGCTTGATTTGATCTTTTTCAATTTCTTTTTCATTTGCTTGAGAGGTGCTAAGCTAAAATTTCTTTTAAGTGTTAGTTTCCTGAATAAATATCCAACAGATAAGTAATAACAACAAATATTTTTACTGAAAGCCTGTCAAACCTATAATTAGCGATGTTGTTGTCTTAGTGGAAATTGACTGAAATTACAACACACGCACGAGCTGAATATTAACCTTTGGAATATAGTTGGGAAATTCGACGAAAACATTGGGAATGAAACACATTTTACTCTCAGAGAAACCGCTTTCCAGCCTTTTATGTTTTCAGCAGATGGTAGCCGCCGTAAAATATACCATTTACTGCTAGGATTGCAGGTCAGCAGCGTTGACATCCGTACCCGGATATTTGAGGACATGAGCCGATATTAAATTACGCCATTCATCATCTGAACGGATTTTGTTTTTTTTTTGAAAAAGTTTACGCTAATAAAGTGTGCTTTCCTAAAAAGTAGCGCTTTATACGATTTCGCATAACATATGTAGAAGAACATGATTTAAGTCAGTGACGAATGTAAGAGACAGAGGACTAATAATCTACGATTTTTGTATTCTCAATTTCTTAAAAATGTCGCAATTCTTAGTTTCTTCTTTCTATAGATGTGTAGATATTTTTAACGTTGAAACAACAAAATTATGGCTGCCAGACTTATTTGCCACCAACATAAACAAGTCGCTATGCTAGGATTTTATATATCACAAATGAAACTACAAATGAAAAGATTTTGAGGAAAATGTAAAATTTTAATAATAAAATTCTACATGCTCAATATTGTTAACTACTTGTATTATAACAATATAATAAATATCTAAATAATAAATATGCGTATATCGTCAGCTGTAGTATTATTTAAAAATATTGTTTTAACTAAAATGTGATTACCTACTAGAAAAATTTTACATTATTAAGAAATGATATATTACGCCTTATATTTTTTTATTCTACTTTTTTGACATTTTGTTGTTTAATATTCCGGCAGTATTGGTCAAATATTTTATATGACACAAAAATTAAAATATTTTTCTTTTGACTATGCATAATTTTTTCAGTGTTAATTTTTTTTCCTATTTTAGACTAATTTATCAATTTGAAAATAAAATATCAACACACTGATTTACAAGAAGATGCAGTTATCTTAAATTCCGTAAGGGTACTTAATTAGTTGCTTAGTGGAACTTGAAACTTATTCTTCTTAAAAAAAAAAAAGACTGCAGTTTTGTTGAACTGTTTTTAAATATTAATATTGTATTCAACGTCATTTTAATGTTTTCATAGAATAAAAATATCTTTATCTTGAAATTAGTATTTTTTTAAATGACTACATTGATTAAGTCTTAAAAATGTATTTAAGTTAACAGTTTTTTACTCGAAATCGATACGTTTGTGAGTATCGTGAGTTTTATTCGAATTTGTCTGCTTAAAAAGTTTGTAGAAGTAGGTAGATACTTAAAACAGATACAGGGTGTTTCACATAACTTTACGAGGCTTGCGCCTAATGTACGCACCCAAATATACAAAAGTCACAGAACACTGGATACAAAAAATACAAATTTAATTATTTAATTTTTGGAAACCCATGATAGTACTTGTCAAACTAATCTCTGTTTCATTAATAGTCATAAACTGCAGTTTTTCAGAAACAATTAATTATCATTTGTTCTATCAAGAGACGGCATGAATATGATTGTAGTTTATCTATCTTAATCACTAACTAACTAAAAACGTTGTAATTTTTTAAAGGGTGAACAAACTAGAGAAGATTATCCAATTTTTCAAAATTTGTAATCGAGTTCGTATCGGAATATGTATTATTGATTGCATCTTACAGGCGCAGGCCACGTAAAATTACGTGAAACACCCTGTATTTAAAAATTTAATGTGTGGATGTTAGCTTAGTACAATTTTATGGTTCTTTGCGTTTAAATTAGCCAAAATATGTTTGTGAATAAAAATACGAGTTTCAAGTTTCAAATTTTTATCGTCCTCAACTCAAAAAACAAATAAAATGAACAATAGTCGTTTCGACCGACCTTTTATTCTTTCACCGCCAATAATATAATAAATGATCGCTAATCCTCCAAAATCTGAAAACAGGTGTTATTTCTCGTATCATTTCCACTTTCGCTTTCTTTCCCCGATTAATCCGAGTTATAATTTGGTATAATTCGTGGGTCCATTTAGCGACGTTGGTCGTTCCGCACCGCGCCAACCCGCAAGCTATCGATTGGGTTGAAAAGTAGGTGAATAAAACCAAGTTGGTAAAAACCCCATTGGCATTTCCCATCACCATAACAAAGGTTGACACTTTTGCGATCGATGGATGTTGCACTTACCTCGTCGTCGAAGTCACCGTGATCTGCCATGTCTTGTGCACACCCCCGAGGAGCACTACTACACTAGTGACATAACTCAGGAGCAAGTCGACGTCTTCACCGCCGAGTTGGGGCTCATTGGGCGCGCTTCTGAAAACAAATTTTCGTTTTACCTCGAGAAAAAATAAATGGGATCTTTTAGGCAACAAGTAAAAATGTCTGGAAAAATTTTCCGACGGTATTTTCCACTTTTGATCCATTACAAGTTTCCCTTATTTTTGTTTAGTAAAAAAGTCTTTTTTGTTTTCTTAAAATTTTATAGTTTCAAAAGACTTTTTCTGGAATGGTGCAACTTACCTTCGGTCACACTGAAGTGGAGTTTTGAGGAAGGCGTCGCGACGCGTCTTTCTTTATCAACGACGCTTCCAGAACTGGATGGAGCCCGGGTAAGACAAGCGCGTGCGCATTTCCGCATTGTTTATTATTTCATTTCTTTCACATGTTTAATAAACCTGGACGTGGAGGAAAGAAAGCATCATGAATACACTCTTTGTGGTGCGAAACTGGGCCAGCCTTAATTATTTTAATGAGCTGAAGTCAAATTTCAGCGACGCGTTTGCTAACTTTTGCTGTCTTCTAATTCCGTCAATTTTTGCCTCTATAGTTTCGTTTTTGTTTCAAAAGCACTTTCTAATTTAAGACACGGTTGTAAATTATAGTGCGTGTTTAAAACACGTTAATATTTTTTTGTAATTGGCTGCTTAGTAAAGCTTCAAAACTACCTTTAAATTGAAAAATAAAGACTTTCGTGTGTACAAATTTACTAAATTACGCCACATTATTAAGGGGGTTATGGTGCGGATAATGATATATTTTCCTCTTTGTGTTGTGAAAATCACGTAATTACTAATTTGAAAAGGTAGGTATACGTATAGTGTCTTTGGCTTTAACATGATGGACCCTCATATACTTATTGTTAAATTTAATTTGAAATCTTTGTGCTTTGAAGGCAGTGTGGGTGCTTTAAATTTGTCTGTTAGATAAGGTCAGAAAAAGGGAACAAAGCAATGCCATCATTGCTATAACTACCATTAGTTATATGTTGAAAACTTTCTCGCAACTCCTGGATTATCCTTTTTTTTTTCTTCCTCTCTTGAATCATTACCAGTTTTCAACCCATATTTCATATTTTTATAACATCCTACATAATATTCAAACAAGATAATATGCAAAATCTAATTTATTTCAACATCATTACATTCACAGAGATGCAGAATGTCCGGAAAGTCGCGCACCTCCTTGGAAGGGAGTAATTGGATAGTCTCCCAGAGCACTAAGAAATGTTTATAAAATTCTATCTGTCAAGAAATTTTGACATTTATTTTTTGACATTTGACATTTTTTTATGTCTATTTTATGATACTCATGATCTTGTATATGTTTTTTTATAATTATTTAGTACAGGTACAAAAAAATTTCCAATAAAAGCCACAAATAACTTTAAAAAGAGTTACAATTTAGAATATAGCTTCATTGTTTCATTTTCTAATAGCCTGTAGCAAAACAACTTGAAAAATTATTTTTCCAGCAGAAATAAAATAGAGTCAAAGTGCAAAATTTAAACTCTTATAACTTCGAAATTTTTATAGATAGATTTTTTTAAATATTTTTCTTGTTGTCTAGGGCACCGCCCGATGATACAGTATCACGGAGGTGCTCGACATTCCGGACACTTGTATATTGGAAAACACCCCCATTTGGGGATCTACAACCCACAAATGAATGGATTAGAATTTGAAATGAGTCTAATGAATTGAATTAAATACAGGGTGAATATAAAGTATGGAACCAAGCAGTTTTATTTTTAATCATTTGCCCACAGAAAATAATAATTAATATAAATTAAAGTAATATAAAAAATGTGATCGTATTTTCTGAACAAAATTTTGTTTTGTTTTTGAGTTATGCGATTTTTTTTGTCAAAATTGCAATTTATGTGAATTTTTTTTTTGAAAAAATTAAATATAAAGCAGATAGTTGTAATCCTTAGAGTATAGCTTTCATGAGAAAAATGATTTTATAGTGGGTTGCCATTTAATTTTTTTTTTTTTGTAGAACTCAAAAACAAAAGGAAATTTCGAAAAATTTTATTCTTCTTAAATCATCACATTTTTATAGTACTTTATGACTCATCAATTAGTTTTTTCAAAAAATAAATAGTTTAAGCAAAAAACGTTTGGTTCCATACTTTTTATTCACCTGGTATAATACTGGACATATTCTGTTTTTTGTAGTAGAAAATTACCCAGTCCACAATATTAATTCAATTATCGCAAAACCAATCATAAGACAGAAATAGAAAACAGTTCAACAATTGTAAACAAGCTGAAAAAAAAATGTTATTAAAACTTAAATTTGTCATTTTGTTTCGTATGTAATGGAGCAAAATGTTCCGCCATTAATGTAATGTCCTCAAATTTAACTTATTAATTCCAGACTATCAAAGCCAAAAGCCCCGAGTAATGCAATAAGGAAGTGGATCACTTCAGTAATTAATTTACATAAACTTTCAGAAGTGCCAGTTACAAGATGCTTGTGATTTTTCTCATGTTGTTGAGACGTCACTTTTAATGATTATTATCAGTGCGAAATCCACCCCCGAAATGAATCCCCTTCCCACTAATTCTTATCAGGTTTAATGTTTGTTACATCGCACGTTTTAATGTCATGTCATAATCTGCACTTCAGCCCCTATTCCTATTCGCACCCTTATCATTAGAGAAATTTTTTCAGTTGATAAATTACGTGAGCTGTCACGTCGAGATGCTTTAATTAAACAGTTAAACTATCTCGAGATGACATTGATGGAAGCATGAAAACACGAAAACGTTACGTTATTATTTACAATTAAACGCGGTTAAAATAGAAGGGTTTGATAATAGGAGGATTCGATCCTAAGGGCTTTATTAACAGCAAACAATCATAGGAGAGCGGTCTTAAATAAACAGAACTGGCGGAGGTGATAATGTCTTATATTTATCTAATCGGCCTAAATAAATTTGAGTTTTACGAGCCAAATTTGTGAAAATGGGATTCGGAAATGACATTATTTATGTCTGAGAATCAATAATTTCGAAAAGCGAAGAAAATTTATTTTTCAGAACACTACTAGCGGTAGTAGTGTAGGTGGCGGTAAAGGTTTGGATATTTAAAGATGTAGAAGAAAACTGTAACTGCTCAAATTGTCCTTATTCGCTGGAAAAGGAATCAATAAATAAAACGCAAAAAAACGTAAAATAAGTTTAATAGTAACAATAATAATTATTAATACGTGTACTTATACCCTAAACAAATTAAAACTCTGCTTCTTGAGCGAAACTCTTCCTCTTCAACGAAATTCTTCCGCTGCTCCTAGGTTTGGCCCTTTCCGGTCCCAAACTGGCAGCAGTTGGGCTAAAAACCCTAGTTTCTTGTTCCTGAAAAATATAAAACCAAAAACTGGCGCAACTTTACTTTTGGATCATTACTTGTGGTGCATGATAAAACATTAAATAATGTTGCACAGTATTCCAAATTTTATTTTCAACCAACAGTTTTTTAACGGCTTCAATATCAGGCGCCATAAACCTATCCTTATCCCAAGGCTGGACCACACTTCTTACTGTAGCATAAACCTCCTCTAAAGGGGTTGTCGTCCTCAAAGGCCTCAAAAACTCAATTGCTTGACAAGCTGCAAGGAGTTCAATAGCAATCACATTTTCCACATTTTCGATCACTTGAAGGGCTTTTCTAGCAGCGAAACATCCCATTGACACGTGATCCTCCTGACCAGCGCTTGTGCTCATACTGTCTACTGAAGAAGGGTGACAGACAACTTTATTTTCAGAAACTGTAAAACCAAATTTAAAAAAAATATAGGTGAAGATGGATCACGGAGAAAAACCTAACGCTGCAGCCGTGCAGTGAGCCACCATGAAACCGGAATTGAGGCCTCCCTCTTCGACCAGATAAGCCGGTAAACTACTTAGTGCTATGTAAATTACAAATTATTAACTTAATTTAAAGTGTTATTTTAAGCGTTTACCAGGGTTTACTAATCGTTCAATTCGTTTTTCACTCATTGAGGCCAATTCGTGAACCGCAATACTTAGGAAATCTAAAACTTTGGCGGGATATTCTCCGTGGAAATTTCCCGCTGAAATGATTTCGCCACGATCGGCAAAAACAAGCTAAATTTATATTAAGAAAATTTAAATCATAAGAGAATTAAAGTGAAAATACCTATCTATTAAAAAAGGATACAGGATTATCAGTCCCACTGTTCATTTCAGTCTGAATAACACCTTGTACAAAATCAATTGTATCGTGAACAATTCCATGAACCTGGGGGCAACATCTCAAAGTGTATGCGTCTTGCACCTTATTACAAAACCTATGGCTTTCTACATAACAGTTAAAACTGCTTTTCTGGTCCTTAAATCCACTAATTACCTGCAATTTCTGATGGATAAGTATCAGAGTGAAGCAAAGCTCTCAATCGTTTGGCTACAGCAATCTGTCCCTTATGGGGCCTTATTTTCTGAACGTCTGAATCAAACGCACGAGACGTCCCTTTCAACACCTCTAAAGTAAGTGCAGCAACCACATCTGCCTGTTTAGCTATGTGCAAAGCCCTTTCGACAGCTTCGGCTCCAATACTGGTAATAAGTTGGGTCCCATTGATCAAGGCAACCGCTTCTTTGGGGCCCAGAACAAGAGGTTTCAGCCCGTTTAATTTCAAAACCTAAGAATTGTCATGCAATTTTAAACATATTTGTAAAAAGATGTCATTAATCCGAATCGCATGCATTCACCCATTTCACTAATTTCTAATACTATATACATAAAATTAACGTGTAAATGTTGTGAAGTTGTGAGGTTATTTAAATGTCAAAACAATCAATATACGCGCGCGTAATTTAAAATTTATGGTAAAGGTAGTCCATTACCCGTTTAGCTTCCCCCCAACCTGTTTTGGGGCTCCACATCTTCCCCTCGCCCACATTCCCAAGTGCCAAGTGGGCTAAAGGGGCCAAGTCGCCACTGGCGCCCACTGAACCCTGTTCCGGAACCCACGACAAGCATGAAGCTATAGACAATGCCGATTAAAATTTTGATTGTTTGGGGAGTAATAGGATACCATTAAACGCGTCGACGAGGCCCTGTAGAGTGTTTAAGGATATGCCACTGTAACCCTTTGCTAGAACGTTAATCCTTAATGCGAGCAACATTCTAGTTCTTGCGGGGCTTAAAGGATTACCCACGCCAGCCGCGTGCGATCTGATTATGTTGTATTGCAGGTCTCTAGAAAATAATGACTTATCTAGATGGCAATTTTATGGCTGCAAAGATTTACTCGAGTTTCTCATACGGAATGCTGATTTCTGC